GTAACGAGAAATACACATAGCCTTTAGTGATCTTATTTAGAAGATGCCATAAGTCTTTCAGGTCTAGCTTCTCCAGTAATTTGTTCAGGTCTTTATTTTTCTTGTTGTTGATCTTTCTGTTGGACTTATTCATAACTGAGAAAGGGATGTTGAAATCTCTGTCACTATTGTGTTACTGTCTATGTCTTCTTGTAGTTCAGTTAGTGTTTCCGTTATGAATTTCAGTGCGAAGTCATCTGGAGCATAGAAGTTTAATATTGATTTTCATTTGTTGTCTATGGTTCCTTTCTGCATGATATAGTTTCTTTGTTTAGCCTTTTTTATATCGTAAATATTTGTTTTTGTTTCGTCGGATAGCATGAGTGTAACGTCTAGGTTTTTTAGATTCACAGTCTTTTTTTTCCAGTCCTCTGTTTTTATATTTGTGTGTCTCTGTTTTTTAAAAATATGTCCTGTAAACATCATTTTGTTGGGTATCGTTTTCTTATCCAATCTATCATTTTCTTGTCATTTTCTCATATTGTTAATCCATTCACAAAGTTATGAGAGTTAGGTTTATGTCGAATATATATTTTTCCCAAATTAAGATTTCCCCCCTTCTTCTTTTGTACACATCTGTGGTTTAGTCCGCAGTGCTGCAGGCCTCTTTCTCCCCCTTTCTATCTGTGTCTCTTTGTATACATTGAGAAAGTCTCTTAGTCATCTTTCTATTGTTGTCTTGTTCTTCTTGTAATTTCTTATCCTTCTTGCATGTCTGTTGTCTGGAATGTTTGGAAAGCACATGATATCTTTTTTTTTCAGTGTTTTTTTTTATTAATTTCTTTTGATTTATCAACAATCACTTCCATATGCTTTTGAGTTGAAAATTTTTCTCCCCCTTCCTCCCCCCACCCTCCCCAAGGCAGCACACAGTCTGATATAGGCTTTACATTTACATACGCATGAAACATATTTTCACATTAGTGAAGTTGTAAGTAAAAATTAAAACCAATAGGAGGAACCATCAGAAAGAGGAAACAAAACTCAACAGAAGGTAAAAATAAGTGTTAGCGATTCGACTTCCATGGTTCTTTCTTTGGATGTGGACAGCATTTTCCATCCTGAGGCCTCTGGAGATGTCTCAGATCCTCGTAATGCTGAGAAGGGTTTGGTTTAACAATCTTAGTCATTGCATAACATGATTGTTATTGTGTACAAAGTCCTCTTGGTTCTACTCACTTCACTCAGCATCAGACCATATAGGTCTTTCCAGGTTTTTCTGAAGTCAGCCTGTTCATCATTTCTTACAGCACAATAGTATTCCATTACATTCATATACCACAACTTGCTCAGCCATTCCCCAATGGATGGGCATCCCCTCAATTTCCAATTCTTTGCCACTACAGAAAGAGCTGCTATGAATATTTTTGTACATGTGGGTCCTTTTCCCATTTGTTTGATCTCTTTGGGATATAGCCCTAGAAGGAAAGCACATGATTTCTTTTAGGAATGATTTAAACACCTCTTTTTTTTTTTTATTGAATGCCCATCTTTATTTCCACTAATGGATAGGCTAAACTTGCAGGGTAGGTCTCTTTGGACTGCCTCTTGAGCTCTATTGCTCTTTGGAATGTTATTCAGTTTCGTCTTGTAGGTACAGAATAATCTTGTGTTATTTGAAGTTCCTTTGCTTAATATTTGAAGGTCTTTCTCCCGGTCACTTGCAGAATTTATTGCTTCTTAATGGGAGCTACCTTTCCTAGAGTTTGTAACCAAGGGTTTGGCTTTTGTTTGTAGCAGAGATCTTTCTTTTTTTTCTGGAGGCAATCTATGGATTCTTCCCATTGGCAATTGTTTTCTGTGTTCAGAAGTTCTGGATAGTTTTCTGGTATTATTTCTTGCAATGTAGTATTTCAAGCATTTTGACATATTGTGTTCTGAGAGACCTAGAATCCCTAAATTGTCTTTGCACATCTTGTCTTTTATATCAATATGTTTTGCTTGCAGGGAGATCATGACTTCCTTTAATATTACTGCTTTTTGCATCTCTTCTTCTAGATTGTCCTTCCCTTTCATGTAGTTGCATTCCCAATCAGTTATTCCCTCTTTGATTTCTTTGTTGAGATTTGCCACCAAGGATTGCCTATAAGTTTTGCTTTCACAATTTTGATTTCTCTTGTAAACTATTCAGGAATAGCATGCTCTCTTGAAAATCCACAGGGTCCTCTGTCTCATCAAGCATTGGTTCATTTTCCTTTCTCATTTATTCACAGATGCCTGAACTCTTTTTTTTTTCCAAATCTGGAAGCCATATTTCCTGTTGATTTATCTGCTTATGTTCAAAGTCTTTAGTTTTCTTTTCCCTTATAGTTCCCTTATAGTCTCTTCTAGTTTCTTATAGTCTTATAGTCCCTATCACTCACTTTCTGACTTCTTCCCTTTTGAGTGTGGTTTCCTTGGGAACTGAACCTCAAAGCCATCTCAGTTTCCTCCCAGCTGGGCAATTCATGGTTTACCAGCCTTGGTCACTGCCTCAAGAGACTTCTGGGGAGGGCAGAATTAGTTACTGGCCTTGGAGTCAGGAAGACTTGAATTCACATCCTGCCTCAGACACTTATTAGCTGGGTCAACCTAGACAAGTAACTTAACCTTTCTGAGCCTTCGTTTCCATGTTTCCAGTAAAACAAGAGGGCAACATTCACTCAATGTCCTGTAATATCCTTTCAGCTCTAAATCTATGATACTGTGATCTTTTTATATTTATTTGTTTTTTAATTTTTTTATTATTTTATTTTATTTTTTTATTTATTTATTTTTTCTGTGTGCTAGAACATGGTCTGTTTTTGCAAAGGAACTATGTAATTCTGATAAATCTTTATATTCTTTAATATTTCAATTCCAAAGATGCCATAAGTCTTTTAGCTTATTTCTCCAATGGCTTGTCCACTCCTGTGGTTTGCTTTTTGTTTATCTTTCTGTTAGATTTATTCAGCTCTGAGACAAGAGTATTAAAGTCTGCTCACAACTATCATTTTACCATCTATGTCTCTTTGCAACTTAGTTTACTTTTCTTTTATGGAATTATTTCAGGGGTGGGGAACCTGGGGCCTCGAGGCCACATGTGGCCTTCCGGGTCCTCGGGTGCAGCCTTTTGACTGAGTCCAAATTTTACAGAACAAATCCTTTTATTAAAGGGCTGTACTTGAGGACCCAGAGGGCCACACGTGGCCTGGAGGATGAAGGTTCCCCATCCTTGATATAGCTGCTTTGCCATTTGCTGCATCTATGTTTAATACTGATACTGTTTTATTGTCTGACTCTATGACATCTTTAAGCATAATGTCATTTCCCTATTTCTTTTGACACTGCAAATTTTTATTTTTGCTTTTTTTTTTCAGTAGTGTAATTACAACTTCTGTTTTTTGAAAATCAATTGGTGTAAGAACTAGAACTCTCAGGGTCTTGGTGAGGGCTGTTGCACATAGTAAACGTCCTTTTCACTTCTCATTTTCAATCTGAATCTGTCTGGTTTTTAGATATATTTCTTCTATTCAACAAATTACTTGGCTTTGTTCTGTTCCACATTTTGCCACTCTTTTGTTTTTGATTTTGTATTCTTTAATCCATTCTCAATTAAGGTTACAATTATTAGACTTGGATTTTCTTCCATTTACTTACTTTGTATTGGATTTTATCCCCTTTGTTCTTTAAGTCAATTCTTTGTCCCTTTTGCTTATACAATTTATAGCTTGTCTGTACCCACATGCTTTCCTCTCACTCCCATTTGCATCCCAAGTTCTCTGACTTTATTAAATTGTAAATGTCTTTGCTTTCTTTTGCCCTTTTTCTTTAGCTGTTATTCCACCTCTTTTGAACATTTTCTTTCCCAACCCAACTATTCTCTGCCCATCTATTCTATGGGACCAAGAATGCTCATTCATAGATAACTTTTTCAAGTTTAGCAGTGAAAGAAAGGAATAAGATAGATGGGTTAGAAGCGGGAGTGTGCTGGTAAATGTTTAACAACTGGCTCTCAAAAAAACCCACCATTTTTTCAGTTTAATCTGCATTATTAACATTTTTTTTACCATTTTCTTAGGTGATATCCAAGATGCAAATGCTCATACTGACTCTCTTGAGCTGGTTTGAGCTAGCTCTAGCATATCACTGGGTAGAAGGACCAAATGAAACCTTTTTTTTCCAAGATTGGGGACACCTAAGCACGTATGTAATATTAAAAGTTTGCTTTCTATATAATACTTTAAGTTTTGAAAAATGCATCACATTCATTATTTCATTTGATTTTCATAATAACTCTATGAGATAGGCACTGCCATTTTATAGACAAGGAAACTGAGGCTTAGAGTAGTTACATGACCTGTCTGTCCATGGTCACGTGGCTAGTCAATGTCAAAGTGGGGATTTTATCCTGCATCTCTCTGGTTGGCAAGTGCAATGGTTTCTCCACTCTAACACACCACAGAAAGGAACTTCATGGCAAGGGAGAAATTGGAGATGTATGTGAGAGGGAGGATGCTCCTGGAGCAGGGTCCTAGGGGAGGACAGGGGAAGGAATAGGAGCAAGGGAGCAGGTAGAGGAATTGCCATTGGTGAGTTGCATAGTCCTCTGTTCTGTGACAAGAGGGAAGGAGGAAAGAGGGCCTGAAAATGCTAAGAAGGATTGAGGAATGGAGGAGGGGGCCTGAAGCTGCTGCCAATTGATGACTTCAGTCTTCCCAGTGAGGTCTTCATGCTCAAAGAGCTAAGTGAATGCATTGCAGCTAAAGGTCTGATTTCTGGCCAATCCTACCTTTTCTTCATCTGACCCAGCTAGTTTTTGAAAGGAAAAATACACAAGGAGCCAGCTTTTTCACTACAGTGATTTTTATTTATTTGCCATTCTTGCTGTCATTAGCTAAAAATATTGATGGAAATTTCGGGGAGGGGTGGACAGGAGAGATGAAAATAAAAAAGAACATGGCTTCCCTCTTCACTGTGTGGATGAAGGGCTGCAGTGAAGATCAATTCTCCTGAAAATCAGGGCTTCTAAAGAGAAATGGCAAGAGGAGCTCCACTTCTATGAAATACCTGGTAACCATGGCTCTAGTAAAGACAACTTAAGAGAGAAGGTCAATTAACAATACCTAGCAATTCCATTTCATTCAATTAAAGCTCATGTTAGTTTTTCTTACAGAGAAATAACATTATGTTGCATTCACACACTACAACTAGTCCAGCCATTCCCCGAGGGATGGGCATCTGCCCTGTTTCCAGTTTCTTGCTACCACAAAAGATGTTGCTCTAAATATTTTGGTGTGTTCAGGACATTTCCCTCAGTCTTTGACCTTGTGCTAAATGCCCAGCAAAATTGTATCACTGTGTCAAAGGATCTAAACAATGGGATATCTTTATAGCAGAGTCCAGAGTTGTTTTCCTGAACAATTGGCCCAATTCCCAGCTCCAGTAATGATGTATTTTGGGGCCTTTCTGCCCATAACAGCCCCTCCGACATTAACTATTTCCATTTTTTTATCATTGTTGACAATCTTCTGGGTATGATATAAAATGGTAGAGTTGTTTTGATTTGTATCACTCTTATTATTAGTGATACAGAGCAATTTTTCATGTAGTCATTGATCATTTACATTTCATCTTTTGAAAACTTTGTTCATATTCTTTGACCACTTATCTCTTGGGGAATGGTTCTTGGTCTTATACATTTGTATCAATTCTATATAAATCTAGGCTATCAGACTTTTATCAGAGATATATGCTATGAAGATTTTTTTTTCTCCAATCAGTAGTTTCTCTTTTTAATGTTATTATGTTGATTTTTGTTAGTGCAAAAGCTCTTACGTTTCATATAATCACCCCCAAAAATCTATTTTGTCTATTGTGATCCCCTCTGTACTTGTCTTAGTTATGAATTCTTCCTAAAACTATAAATTCAAAGGATACTGATTTCTATTCTCTGCTGGTTTAGTTTTCAGTTGGAGCTTCTTTTCTGCCTACTGACTCTTTTGCAGTTGGAGTCATGCACTGCCTGGAAGCCAAATGCTGTCCACAGCAGGCTTTCCTGTCACAGAGTACAATGCTACTTGACTTAAGCTAGAAGGAGCATTCTCAGCCTTTGGGTGGGGAGTGTGGGAGTTTGAAAGACAATGCCCCACAGTCAAGGAAATGTTGCTCACAGTAGGTGCTCAGTATATAGATGTTCGTCTTAGCTTTGAGAAAAATGGTTGGGGAAGGTGGGTAAGCTACCTGCCGGGCTTGCCCACTCTGACTTCCTAAAAGTCTCAGTATAAGGGGGTCACCTGGGCCTCAGGCTCCTGCTTCTTAGAGGATTTTGTGCCTTCGTTGCATTTCACTGTAAGCTGCTCACTGGCTTGCAGCCGCCTGACTTAGGCCTGGTGGAGGTGGCTGTGGAAGAGGCAGCAAACTTCTCCGTGTCACTGTACTCACAGGCCCCAGTGGTGGGGCTTCTGCCATGAGATTTGTTCAGGAGACTTTGGAAAATATGCTTGTCAGTGCAATCCTTCCTAAAGTCATCTTCAAAGGTCTTGAGCTACAGAGGAAACAAAGGAGGGATGGAGGGGATGGAGGTCAGCTAGAATGCTAGGCAGGCCTGAGACCTTAGAGAGCACCCACAAGGAAACTGAGGCCCAGAGACAAGAAGTGATTTGCTTAAAGTCACACAGCTAGCCATATCTGATTTCTCACCATGAATACCCCTGCCAAGAAGCCTTTGCTAAGAGCTTGTATTTGCGTTTAGAATCAGGGCACCTGACTCTCTCTCTCCCCCTCCTTCCCCTGCCCACCCTGTCTCTCTCTCTCTCCTCTCCCCCTCATACACTCTCTGTCTATCCCTCACTTTCTCTTTCTTTCTCTCTCCTCTCTCTCTCTCTCTCTCTCTCTCTCTCTCTCTCTCTCTCTCTCTCTCTCTCTCCTCTCTCTCCTCTCTCTCTCTCCCCCCCTCCTGTCCCCTCACATACTCTCTATCCCTCACTTTCTCTCTCTTTCTTTCCCTGTCTCTCTCCTCTCTCTCTCTGTCTCTCTGTCTCTCTGTCTCTCTCTCTCTCTCTCTCATTTAGCGCCTTTTTCTATTTGTGAATTGTAGAAAGTGATTCTTACCCCTCATCTCTCACTCTCACTTGAATTTCATTTGGTCCAACAAAAGGTTCTTAAGAGGCACCATTGCTAGGAACTGGAAAGGCCAGTAGGAACATGTGCATGAACCCAATGCCTTATGGCACCTGATCTAACTGGATCCTGAAGGTCGCCCTCTGAGGACAAGGGGATGCATATCTTGATTGACTTTTTCCAGTTGAAGGAAGGGGAGGTGGTGGGATTTGATCAAGTCCCCCAGTGAGCCAGTCACCTTGTGGTGATGCCCGGTCTGGGTGCTAGCTCAGATTGTTCTTGGATAGGGCGCACAGGCTACTGAGATGGGCTTGCCCTGGATTTCTGGGCAGGGCACCCTCCCTGCTAATAGTCTGAATTATCTGAGCACTTTCTGTAGACTCTGGGGCCTCAGTTTCTGGGAGGAGGCTTAGCCTGCAGTGAAGCAGGGAATCCTTGCAATGTGGGGCCTGGGACCAGCTATAGAAACCAACCAACCTGTTCTTGCAGAAGTGCCATTTGCTGCCTCATCTCCTCTTCCTTCTTGCATAGGTTTTCATTTTCTACTTTCATTCGCTCTGTCAGGGAATTAGCTTCAAGCATTTCAGTCTGTTGGAAAACAGCACCAGAACGGTCACACGAAAAGCTGGGATTGGAGGCCCTAAGAGTAGGGACACCCATTCCCCTGATTGGGGATGTGCCCAACCAGTGCCCAGTAGGCAGGCCAAGGACAACAGTGGGAGGGCCTGCCAGAGCACTTGGAAAGGGTGGGTAAGCACTGGGTAGGGCATGGGGGACGCAGGCCTGCTAACCATCCTGCCAGTCCCTCCAACTAGCCAAGAAGTGTCCGAAGCAGATATCGACTGTGTCAGCTCCCCCTCCCCCAGGCTTGAAACCTTGGAATCTCCTGTGATTCCTTAGGCTTCCTCTTCTCCCCCACCCAATCAGTGGCTCTCAAATCCAGCCCCTCCCCTCCCCTCCAGATGCCAGTACTCTAGGCCGTGTCCTGCTCACTTGGACTTGAACTAGTGCAATGGCCCCCTGATAGGCTTCTCCCTTTCAACATATCCATAGCCCACAAAATAGCTGGCAGAGTAACCTGCAACAGGTAGGGCTCATTACTTCTTTGCTCAGAAACTTTTCACAGCTCCCTTTTACCTCTCAGAGAAAGTCCCAGCTCTCTAGCACGCAAAGGATTATACACCATGTGACAGTCCTTGGCCAATGTGATGCAATGCCTGGAGTCTGAGGACCTGGGTTTGAATGCCAGCTGTGTGATAACCTTTGTGGTCTGCACCAGCTGGCCTGCTAGCTCTAAATCTCAAGTGGGAGCTCTGGCTCTTAGCCTTGTGGGGGGTCATGGACACTTGGGGCAGTCTGGGGAAGAAGCCTCTGGACCCCTTCTCTGAATTATGCATTTCAATACATCAAATAAAACACGTGGGACTGCAAAGGAAATCAGCTATATTGAAGTAGAGAGATCAAAACATTCAATTTAGAAAGCCAAACAAGTCCATGGACCCCAGGTTAAGATCTCCTGGACTATGGAAGAAACAAAAGTATAGGGCAAACACCCAGAGCAGCTTAGTGGGCACAAGGCTCAGCTCGGAAAGCTGGCAGTGGTCTTTTTTTAGATGCTACCTGCTTTGGGAGCTTCACCTAGGATGAGAGAAACAGGCTAGGGAGGAATGAATAACTTGGGTACAACACAATTTAGAAGAAGAATCTTGCTGTTGGAACACGTGGGGTTAGTCCCAAGGTAAAGTGCGAGACAGTCAAGCATTTCCCAGGATATGCCTTGGCTCTGGCAGGCTCCTGGATGGGCACAGTTTCCTTCTTCATCACAGTACCTGGCATTTCAAGGCCTCCATCTGATTGATCAGGTCAGTCATCTCTCTCTCTGAGTTGGAGATGTCCAGCTGGTGCCTACAGTATATAGTCTTCGGAACCTTGGCATTGCCTAGCCCGTGCCAGCACTGGGCATCGTCCTGTAAGTGCTTCCTGGTCAGCAGGATTGGAGAAGCACCATAGCCTTCCATGAAATTCTAATAAAGCAAGAGGGATTTCAGCTCAGCCATTAATGGCTGTGTAGTAGCCATGGGGTCAGTTCCTGCCCCTGTTACCCTGGGACTTCATGTATGCCACCAAAAAAATAGAGGCCCATTTTCCCGTGGTGAAAGATACATACTAACTCATGTGCTGTGCAGCGGTTACTGAGCTGACCACCTCCCTTTCTCACCCATCCTCTGTCCAACAGGAATCATCTAGGCAGGGATGGCTTTAGAGCTATTGAATCCCAGAGTTGGAAGGGGCACCTAAGGGGCCATCTGGTTCATCACCACATGGGCAGAAACCCTTTTTATAAGATCCCTGACAAATACTTATCTGACCTCTACTTCCAACTCTGCAATTGGGGCAGAATTATAGAATGGAGTTAGGAAGACATGGGTACAAATCCCACCTTGGACACTTACTAGCTGTGTGTGACCCCAGGCAAACTGCTTAAGTTCTTGGGGCCTCAGTTTCCTTACCTGTAAAATGGGAGTAATAAGAGCATCTACCTCCCAGGGTTGTCGTGAGGATCAGATGAGCTGACATAGGTAAAGTGCTTTGCAAACCTTGAAGCCTCAAAGAGCCTCTGAGCTCTGAGCTGCTCACTTTGGCTGCCCCTCCCTACCTCCCTGCTCTTTCCAAGGGGCCCTTTGTGCTCTCTTCCTGACCTCTCCCCCTTGCTCATTGACAAGCAAGCGGGGCAATCACTCACCACCATGGGGCAGCTCTCATGATTCTGCTGCAGTTTGTTCTCAAGGTGCCTCACGTATTCCTGGAGCTGCAGGTTCTTTTCAAGCTCTTGGAGAAAGCCTTGCTCGTAGTACTCCTTCTTGTTCTGAAGAAAGACGCCCCACAGGCTAGGATCGCTTAGAAGTGCCCTTCTCGGAGCCCTCAAGAAGCGAGCTTAGTGTCTCCTGTGCTTTTTGTGTGTATGCCCCTAGCCCTTCACCCACATTCCTGACAACCCCGTCATACCAACGCAAGAGATCCACTGTGCTGTGGACTGGGGGCTCCCTGGGGGGTTCTCACCTGCTCCTGGTCGAGCTGTATGGTCAGGCGCTCTGCCTGCTGCTTGAAGTCAACCACCTCCATTTGCAGGATGCTCATCTTCTGCTGCATTTGGAAGGTAGTCACGTGGTACATGTGGTTCCACTCCTGATTCAGCTTCATAAGCTGTAAGGGAAAGGTCAAAGTGACTTTGGGGATGGGGGATCCTCTGGGACAGGACAATCTGCAGCTTGGTCTCAGTCCACAGAATCCAACAGGACCCTCCATGGTCCATGTTCATACTGTGACCCCCAGAGGGCTACCTGGGAGGTACTGCTAGTAATAGGAACTCTGTGATTCATAACCCTTTGTTGTCATTATTCAAACCACCCCCCACTGATAACTCCCTTCTTCCTATCCCTCTCAACCCAACCCTACCCTGCCCCGCCCCCCCCACCCTGGTCCCACTCTGAGGCTACTCACCCCTTCCACTGCACTCTCTGGAGTGCCTACTCCATTGGCAATGAACTTCCCCTTTCCCACTCCTTCCATCTTTTGGCTTCCTCCTGATTACCTGACCTCCCTTTCTAGCACTGGATGCACTTTCACTCATTCCCCTTCCAGGTTCTCCCCCTACCACCATTACTCAGTAACCTCTCCTCCCTCGAGCTTCATTCAATCCATATCTACCACCCAATCAGGAGAAATGTCATAGCAATGTCCAAGAGTGGGCTGGGGAAAGTTCTTCCTTCTTTGGAGGCCCTCAGCAATTTTGACTTGACACTGAATTTTGATTTTGTTTTCTTTTCCCTCAGAGCTCATGCTGGGGTCACAGGGCTTTTTTGGGGGGTGACAGGGGAGTCAGCAGTTGAAGCCCTGTCCTTAGTTTTAATTAATTAGTTTATTTATTTTTTTATTGCCACCTAATGGTATTTTATTTTTTCCAATTACATGTAAAGATAATTTTCAACATTCACTTTTATAAGATTTCAAGTTCCAAATTTTTTCTCCCTCCCTCCCTCCTCTCCCCTCTCCCCAAGACAGCAAGCAGTCTGATATAGGTTCTACATGTACAATCACATTAAACATATTTCCATATTAGTCATGTTGTGAAAGAAGAATCAGAACAAAAGGGGAAAATGACAAGAAAGAAAAAACAAAAAAAAAAGTGAAAATAGTATGCTACCATCTGCATTCAGACTCTGTAGTTCTTTCTCTGGGTGCGAATAGCATTTTCCATCATGAGTCTTTTGGAATTGTCTTAGATTATTGCATTGCTGAGAAGAGCTAAGTCTATCAAAGTCAGTCATCACACAATGTGACTATTACTGTGTACAATGTTCTCCTGGTTCTCCTCACTTCATTCAGCATCAGTCCATACAAGTCTTTCCAGGTTTTTCTGAAGTCAGCCTGTTCTCATTTCTTATAGCACAATAATATTCCATTACATTCATAGACCACAACTTGTTCAGCCATTACCCAATGGACGGGCATCTCCTCAGTTTCCAATTCTTGGCCACCACAGAAAGATCTGCTATGAATATTTTTGTACATGAGGGTCCTTTTTGATTTTTTATGATTTCTTTGGAAGCCCTATCTTTAAAATGTATGTATGAAGTCCAACTTTGCCTACATGCACATTTCCAAGATTCTCATTGAGAAATTACATGGTATCTCTTATATAATGACCAAAGCCACTTTCATTGCTATTTGTTAATACTGCTTTTTATGCAATAGGTCTGTGTTTTGAAAGATGGTTTTTTAAAAACTTTTTTTTTAAATAAAGGAGAGTATTCTGGAGTATTTATTGTAAAATTATTGCGATGTAAACTTCTTCCCACCCCATGCAAATGTAGTGCCAACACACACACACACACACACACACACACACACACACACACAAATGGTAGGCAGTGTAAGTCCATTATAAAGAGCATAACAAACTGGAAAATACCAGTAGCGTGCTGAAGTATTAGAGCGCATTCCTTTAGATCAATAATAGAAGGGGCTCCCTAGACAGCTGGACTAGAGGCCTAGGATGGCCCCTCCCCCTCAGGGAGCCTCTGCTTCTGCAGTTGGCTTTCCTAGGCTAGAGAAAAATTTGCAGGTACCTGAGGGCATATCCCCAAGACTGGCACAGTCCTCCTCCTTCCTTGGGCCTCTTCCCTTTGGGAGTCCGTACCTGTTTGTTGAGCCTCTGAAGCTCTATATTCTTGTGCAGCAGAAGCATCTTCTCCTCATCGGCCGGCATTGCCGTGTGGTCCAAGGCATAAGTGATACCCTCCTCTGAGTCATTCTCTGAACCTTTGGGCTCAGGACAGGCATGGAGTGTGTTCACCCTAGAATGGAAAAAGAGAGAGGGGAGGGTGGAAGCCAAGTGAGGGAAGCACCTCAGAATTAGGGTTTGATGAGCAAAATGTTGTACAGCACTCAGATGGAGAGTAGCTGCACCTAGGGTATGAGCTTTCTTGAAGGAGAGACTATTAACCCAAAATAAGCCTCCAGTTGGTGGGAATGGGGAAGGGAAGATATTTTGCAGCAGAGGGTCCTTGTCAATTTAAGTCTACCCACCCACACACACATATATGCAAATACATGTATATGCACACACATACCACCACCAACAAAAGCATGGCATACTAAAAAGAATTTTAGAGTTGGTGTCATGGCTTGGAATTCTAGTTTTGCTCCCTCCTAGTTGTGTGACCTTGGGCAGTCATGTCTCTCTGAGCCTCAGTTTCCTCATCTGTAAAATGAAGGATTTGAACAAGAGAATCTCCAAATTCTATGATCATAATTCTCAAGCTGAGAGGGAAGGGAGTTGCTGTTGGTTGACTTGCTGTTGTCACTAGGGAGGTCTTTCGACTCAGGACATGACAAGACCCTTCCCATGGCTTGTCAAACCAGATGCCTGATGTGGGCATGAAGTACAATGGAGTTAGAGGGTCTGGTTTCAAATCTTATCCTGTGTGGCCTTGGACAAGTCCTTTAACCTCCCTTGGTTTCCTCATCTGTAAAATGAGAGAGTTAGACTAGATTAATCCAGAAAACATCACTAAAGGCTCTGGAGTCCTGGGCAAGAAAATGGAGACCTTCCAGGAAATGGGTCCACTTTTCACCAGCAATGCTCATAGAGACTGAGGGTTTCAGAAGAGAGAGGAAGAGCTCATCAGGTAGATCCCCAGGCGGAAAATTCTCCAGGAGAACTTAGCCTGGGTGGGGCTTGGCTTTCCCAAGAAAGAAATTTGAAAGGCATAAAGAGAAATAATTCTGATGAAGATGTAAAAGGGAAGTTGTCTTAAAGGGACACACTGACCCCCTGAGATTGTAGAATGACATGTACAGAAGGGACAAGTGAGGGCACGTGGGTTAGGACGCTCACAAAAGCATCTTACAAACTGTCAAGAGTGTTGCTGCTCAGAATGGCTGGGGCTGGCCAGGGATGCCAAGGCTGACAAAAGGGCTGGAGCAGAGAGGAGGTAATAAGGCCATTTTAGAATAAGCCTCCATTTCAGTGGAGATGAGCAGTCACGTCCAGCCCCTAATTTTTGCCTTTCTCTTTATCCGACCTTTTGGGATAGTGTGTCTTCAGACTGTGTCTGGAGGAGCTGTTCCCCAGGGGGCCAGTCCCTGACTCTGCCCTCTTGGGGAGGGGCCTCTTTGGGCATAAGCATGCTTAGGACCTGGCCTACCAGGGTGGAGTAAGACTAATGAAAGGCGTGGAGATGGAGAAGAACCCTGGGACCCAAAGGGGAAAAGCCAGTAAGGAGCAGGCCCAGAAAGAGAGGAACCAGGGGCATAGGCTTTGGGCTCTCACTTCAGACTTGAGGGGCTACAGTGGCTTACAGCGAGTAAAGAAACCGGGAGGATGGGAATAAGAATATAGCTGCGGTGTTATCTCACAGGATTGTAAAGAAGCTCAAATGAGATAACATCTGGACAGAAGTAGTTTGCAAGCTTCATACCACTCAGTAAATGTCCACTAGTATTCCTTCCAGTGGAATGTAAGCTCCTTGAGGGCAGGTGCTTTTATCTTTGTGCCCATAGTGCCTAGCATAGTTGTGGCACGTAGTAGGCACTTAATAAAAGTGGCTGAATTGAATTGAACTGCATCTAACCAACATGGATTCAGGTGATATGGGCAAGATCCTGCTGGCCTCTAGCATTCCCACCAGGAATCTGAGCCACCACTCAGGTCATCTCAGCCTCCTCTGCTATCTATAAGCTTCTTGTGTTATTTCCTTCTTCTTCCCACCCAGTTTCAGAAAAGCTAAGGATTGGGAGGCAGTCCCTCTGAAAGCAGAAGAGCTCTTGAGCTGAGGCCGTGCTCTCTGCCTTGTGTGACCTCTACTCTGGTCTGAAGCCAAGAGGGGCTTGGAAAGGTGGGGAGAGGTCCCCACGGAGCTGGTGAAACCAGCTGGACCCTTGCCAACAGGGGGGTTCCCCTTTAGAGGCTGTGGATTTCCCCTTCCCCCAGGGTGTTTCTCTAATCAAAAGAACTGTCTGTAAGAAATGTAAGGGTTGAGGGGCAGAGCCAAGATGGCAGACTCTCCTGAGCTCTCCCCTAAACCCTTCCAAAGCCCTTTAAATAGTGCCCACAAAAGGGCAGGGTGAAACAATTTTCCAGCCCAAGACAATTTAAAAGTTTGGCAGGAAAGCTCTGCTGCACCAGGGCAAGTAGAGCACAGTCCAGTGCAGGCCTCACCAGCACAAACCAGGCCCCAGCAAACCAGGAGCAGGTCTTGGGAGTGAATGAATTAGCAGATGCAGTAGCTGCTTCTGGAGCTCTCAGACCATAGATGGTAAGGGGGTCGAACAACTGATCAGAAGGAGATTACAGGGGTCTCTTTGCTAGCACTGAGGCAGGACTCTGTTGCTCTGCCCATATTCAGATCCGGGTCACAATCCTGGAGGGGTAGTCACAGGGCTAGGAGGAGTACTAGCACATCAGAGCTTGGGGTGGCCGCAGTGGAGCAGAGATCTTCCTCACAGTTCCAGGGTAGAAAAGAATGCTTGTGGTCACTCATAGACCAGAGCACATGCCAGTAGGGTAGTAAACACCTCTCCTTAGATCATAGCACCTTGGAAAAACTGAAAAGTTACAGGTCCCTAGAAGTATCTCTGAAAACAGCTATACAAAACTCTTGAAGCTTGGAACAGTGCTCCCTCCACCCTGGAAGCAGAGCCTTACTTTAGCAAAGTGCTAAAAGTCAAGAAATAGACTAGGAAAATTAGCAGACAACAGAAAAAAATTCTGACCATAGAAAGTTACTATGGTGACAAGGAAGATCAAATCAGACACACACTCAGAAGAAGACAGCAAAATAAAAATTCTGATATCCAAAGGCTCCAAGAAAAATATGAATTGGCTTCAGGCCATGGAAGAGCTCAAAAAGGATTTTTAAAATCAAGGAAGAGAGATAGAGGAAAAATTGGAAAGAGAAATGAGAGTGATGCAAGAAAATCATGAAAAAAGAGTCAACAGCTTGGTAAAGGAGACACAAAAAAATACTGAAGAAAATAACACCTTAAAAAACAGACCACATGGTAAAAGAGGTTCAAAAATCCAATGAGCAGAAGAATGCCTTGAAAAGCAGAATTGGCCAAATGGAAAAAGACATACAGAAATTCACTGAAGAGAAGAACTCCTTAAAAAGCATAATTGGCCCAGTGGAAAGAGAGGCACTAAAATATACTGGAGAAAATAACTCATTAAAAAATAGAATTGGTCAAATGGAAAAGGAGGTACAAAGCCTCACTGAAGAAAATAATTCCTCAAAAATGTTAATTGAGCACATGGAAGCTAATGACTCTATGAGACATCAAGAAGCAATAAAACAAAATCAAAAGAGTAGAAAAATAGAAGACAATGTGAAATAGATCACTGGAAAAACAACTGACCTGGAACACAGATCCAGGAGAGATAATTTAAAAATTATTAGATTTCTTGAAACCCATGATCAAAAAAAGAGCCTAGACATCATCTTTCAAGAAATTATCAAGGATGAAATACTATTGTACTATGGGAAATGATGATCAGGATACTCTCAGAGAAACCTGGAAAGACTTATATGACCTGATACAAAGTTAAATGTACTGTGTACAAAGTAACAGCAATATCCCACCTTAATGGGATGATCAGTTGTGGATGACTTAGCTGTTCTCTGCAATTCAACGATCTAAGACAACTCTGAAGGACTTATGATGAAAAATGCTATCCATCCCCAGAGAGAGAACTGATGGTGTCTGAATACAGACTGAAGCAGACTTTTTTACTTTCCTTATTTTTCTTGGGGTTTTTCTTTGGTCTATGTTTTCTTTTACAACATAACTAATATGGAAATAAGTTTTGCATAGTTGCATATGTATAACCTATATCAAATTGTTTGCCTTCTCAATGGGGGGTGGGGTGGGGAGGGAAGGAGAGAATTTGGAACTCAATTTTTCAAATGAATGTAGAAAATTGTTTTTACATGTAACTGGGGAAAAATAAAATATTAAATTAATAATAAAAAGAGAAATGTTAGGGTCAATCATCTGGCAGATGTTACCCACAGCCTTGTGATATAGCCTGCTGCGCCTTATTGTTGGGGTGGGGGTGAGGTTCTTGTCTTCCCATGTAGCCTGGAAGCCCCTTTTGGGCAGGCAGCCAGTCAGCCCATAAGCATGTATTAGGCACCTCCTATGTGCCAGGCATTGTGTTAAGTGCTGAGGATACAAAGAAAGGCAAAAGACAGCCCCTGTTCTCAAGGAGCGCAAATCATAAGAGGGGACACAGTATGCCAACGACTCTGTACAAATGAGCTACAAACGGGAGAGACTGGGAGTAAGCACCAGAGGGAAGATGTACAACATAACGGCCTGTGGGTGCTGGCAGCCCACCAAAGCGAGCCTGTTTTACATCCTCTACATTTTTCACAGACTGCCCCAAATCCTGTGGCGGGCTACAAGCATCCCTCGGGCCACAAGTGGGTGGGCAGGAATGCTCTAGGGAAATGCGAGGAGAGGAGAGCACCCTTCCATATCAGCTGGGGAGACCTGGAAAGGCCTCTTGTACAATGTTACCCCTGAGCTGGACCTTTATGAAAGAGTTTTACAGAAGAGGAAGCCCAGAGAGGGGAAGAAATGAGGATTTTTGTCACCAGGTGGAGATGAGCATGGAGGCCATTCCAGGCATGGTCAGTTTTTTGAGTGAAGAAGAAAGAGATTGATTGCAGGCTGATTGGGTTTGGCTGTGATACAAACGATGTGAAATGAGCCTGACAATGGAAGGCCTTCAATGCCAAGCTAAGGTGGAGCCACTACAGGCTTTTAAGTAAGGGCCTGTGCCTCAGGAGGGGTTGAGAGGTTGGAGGCAGGGAGGCTAGTTAGGAGGCTATTATGATAAGCTAGGCAAGAAGTGTTCAAGAAAAGCATGAGTTTGGCAGGCTCTGTAGCCCTTCCTCCAAACCCCCAAAGGAACCACCTTTTCAGGGGCTCTGAAAGCAGATAAGCCATGAGCTGAGCCATCTTTCCTCAAAGGTTGCCCAAGAGACTGGCAGTCAACAAATCCTTTTAGGCTCTGCTGAGACCAGCCAAGAGAAGTGAGCGGCCCAAAAAGAGGAGCTCTGTCTTCAGAGAGCTGTGTGCCAAGGCCAATGATGGCACAAGCCCTAGGGAGTGCCAGGGTCCAGGTAAGAAGGCAGTGAGCGGCCCTTTGTGCCTTTGAGAGAAGCGGGCAGGCTGGATCAGAGACCTTGGTGCTTTGGTAGCTCAGCCCAGTGGGTCAGAACAAGCACAGGACAACAGGGCTATGAAGACCAGGAAACCACTGAGTGAGGGTCAGTGGCCAGCAGGATTTGAGAGCAGAGAGTGGGACCTAAGGGTAAATGTGAGTGCCCCCAAGAGCTCAAGCAGCTGCATTGACTTTGGGGGGTGGCCTGAGAGGGAGAATAGAACGAGCTAATGCAAGCTTGAAGGGTGACAGAGAATGGCTACCCTGGGCCCTAGCTGCTCTTATCTCTCTTAAAACTCTCAGACCCCCCCCCTTCAATTCTCCATTACTGCTTGACCCCCTCTTTCCTCCCAGTTCCGCCCTTGCCCACGCCCTGCCCACCTGGAGAGAGGATATGAGTGCTGAGGCAGAGTCTGGCTTTGGTGGGCCACGGAGGTGAGTGTCAGGGTTTTGAGCTGGTTAGCTCCATCTGGAAACATTGTCTCCTGATCTGTCCAGAAGTCTGAGATGTCCTGCTGAGGGCCAGGCAGGAAAATGGGTGTACTGCTCATGCTTGTCCACGGGATCAGAACGAGGGTGTTCCTGAGTCAGCAGCAGTGACCGGTTTCAGGGGGGGAGAGAGCATGGGCATGTACCTGTGTCAAATGAGAAAGAGCCCCCCACCCCCACATCAAGGACCTCACCTACGTCCCTCCCCCAGGCCCTCCCACCCATGAACAATCCCTTGGAATGTCTCAGCCGTCAAAGACCCTCTTTCCACACCACCCCCTACCACCACCACTCTATCCATCATGCCTAGGCATTCCCTACCAAAACATCTCTTGAACCATGTTGGTTTGGGGTCAAGTTGGGAGTCAACTCTAAGTTGCTCCTTCAGTGGTGGGACAAAAGGGTCCTTGGTAGTTTGTTAAGGACGCGCCTTCTTCCAAGAACAGAGACAGCATGGTGCAGGAAGGACAAGGTGTTGAGAGACCTCAGCTCTTGTCTCAGTTCTACCACTAACTGGCTGTGTGACCTTGGGTTACTCAGTTCCTCTCTGACTCAGTTTCCTCATTGGTAAAATGGGACAATTGGAATAGGTGATTCCCTAAGGCCCCTTCTAAAACTTCTGAAATCCTGTTATTCTTTTGAGCCATTCTGGAGGGTGGGGGTTAGGCTGGAGGACAACAGGCCAAAATTCAAGAAAATCATGTTGCTCGTTTGTGGGTTTCTCTGTAAAGGTTTCACCTTCAAAATCAACTCTACAGGGCAGCTAGGTGGCACAGTGAATAGAGCTCCAGCCTCGGAGGCAGGAGGACCTGAGTTCAAATCCGGCCTCAGACACTTGACACTCACTAGCTGTGTGACCTTGGGCAAGTCACTTAACTCCAATTGCCTCACCAAAAAACAAAACAAAAACCAACATCGACTCTAAACTCTCATGAAGGTACTTCCCTTGGCTTCTGTCTGGGCTCAGTGGGCTCCAGGTATCACAGAAAAAGTTCCCAGAAAGCAAAAGGCTTGGCCATAGATTAGACCAGAGACCCCACCACTTAGTTGTTATGCCATATCATTGAAGCCTCACTGATGTGGGCTGCTCTGCCACCTCCTCCTGGTGTGACCTCTTTGACCTCAGTCTCCTCACCTGAGGTGGCTGGGCTAGATGACTTTTGAGGTCCCCTCTGGCCCTCAATCTATGAAGGACACGGTTACTTCTGGGGGGTGGGTACCACACTTCTCTTGGATTAGACTGTCACTCAGAACTTTGAGGAGAATCTCTCAACTGAAAGCTGGTGCCAATTCCCTATTTCCAAACCCACACTGTTAGACTGATCTGGGCCTCCCAGGAGAGCTGGGAAGTCGAAGGCTACTCAAGGGTACATGCAGCCACTAGGTAAGCTTTGCCTCAGAAGGTATTTAGTGATGGACCTTCTCCAACACCTCTTTATTCTATGGCACCTCACCAAGGCCTTTCCATTTCCTGATTGGATTTTTTCTTAGGGATATTATAGACAATCACTTCCCATCACTTCCTAAGATCCTCCCACCGAGACCCTGGATTCATATAGCAAGCCCCAGGTGACCAGAGTTGCTTTGCTATGAACCTTTCCAAATACTGACCTGAGCCAAACTCCCTGCGCAAGGAGTTGATCTGTGTGCTGATCCGGTCAGATCATGGATGCTACAGCCTTCAACGAAGTTCCGAGCTCCCACTGAGTTCTCTCTCCCACTGCTTATGCCAATATGCCCTCCTCCGAACTCAACTCAACCTCCTCAATGGTGTGTTTATATACCCTGTCTTTAGGATGCCCATAAGGGGGTGTGCCCCATATCTTGGCCTTTTCCAGTGATCAGGGCAATAATTAGGATACAATCCACAGTTATCATCTCTTCCTGTGGTCACTGTTGCTCTTTTTCCTTTAATCAGGAACAGTACGTCCACATCAGCCTTTTGCGTCCCGGAGATTGCAAGCTTGCAACAGTATATTCTGAAAACCATGTTGCCATGGCTTGGACAAGTCCCAATGACAGATCTTTTGTTGCACCTCATGTTGGGGGAGGTTCACCTCCTGGATGGGGAGGGAGGGTCATAGATCAAGAGCTGGATGGGTCAAGAACTGAAAGGCCAGTTGGTCCAAGCCCTTCATTTTACAGAAAAGGAAGCTAAGACCAAGGGGGTAAGTTGACAAGGCCCAAGTTATATAAGTAATCATTAGCCAAGGTAGGATTTGAAGTCTAGGTGCTCTGGTTCTGGAGTTCATGCCCTTTCCATTGTACCACACCCCTATTATCCTGAAGTCGCTTCCCAGATCAGCCATTTTCTAGCTAAGTGACCCTGAGTGAGTTAGGCTTAGCCTTAGTTTCCTTGTCTAGAAAACGGGAGTGATGAAAAAGAAAAGAAAATGGGAATGATTACCAACGCATCCCCTACCTCACAGCTAGGTGTTGCCACAGTGAATATGATAGGGTGATGGGACCTGGACCTGGAGTCAGGAAGACCAGAGTTCAAATCCAGTCTCAGACACTTACTAGGTATGTGACCCTGGGCAAGTCATTTCATGTGTTTGCCTCAGTTTCCTCAACTGTAAAACCCTCAGCACAGCATCTGGCACAAAATAGGCCTTTCATGAACGCTCCCTGCCTCCTCTCTCAGGTTTGTTGTAAACCTTAAAGCCCCCTCAGAGTGGGAGTTATCAGTCTAACCAAGCTCCCAAAGATACTATAAAGAGGCCCTTTGCTTCCCACTCTCCAGGGGAGGGTGTATGGGTGGGCCAGGCCTCTGTAATACAGAGGCCACCAATATCGGAAAGGAAGCTTTCACAGGAAGAGGAACAAAGTCGATGGTATAACAACCTTGTGAGCCAGGTAGGCAGCTCAAGTATTGCTCCCCAATTTTAGAAGGGAAGAAACTGAGGCTTAGGGAGGTCAGAGTGGTCCCACAGCTCAGGATCCCACAGCTAGAGAGTGGCAAACTTTGCTACAAGAGGCCCTTTCTGGTCACTGGGAAGGAGTGATCACCGTGTTTCTGGAGGTCTCGGAGCAGAGGCTGGCTGAGAGGTTTCCCACATGAGGTACAGGTTGCACTAGATGCCTCTGGCCTTCTTAATGCCCTGTTCTCTAAGCAGAAGTGACCTCCGCCCCCTTGCCCTGCTGCTCTCTGCAGTTCCTAAGTGTAGGTTCACTGAGGCTCCCCACCCCACCCCCATCCTTGAGTACTCTCCAAATCTTCCAAGTCTAGCAAAGGACCGCCTCCCCTGTCTCTGCCATCGTCTTCTGTCCTCCATCAGTGAGAGAGTTCTCTGGAGGAGCTCTAGCACCAGTGAGGGGAGGAAGGCCGAGAGACGGCTCAGCCAACAGTAAGTATTTGGGACCAGTCGGAATGGTATGTGACCGTTAATGTCCTAGGAGATAAGGCTGAAAGGTACTTTCAGATCATAGCATGGAGAGCCTTAAAAGCTCGGCTTGGAATCTGGGAGTTTTTACTGTGTGCCTGGGGAGTTACCAAAGCTTTCAGGGAAGGGGAACCAGGCGATCAAAGAGAGTTTTCAGAAGCCAGAGCAATCTTGTTGCCTGTACCCTCGGCTCTGCTGCCTCAGACTCTAAGTCTAAGTTGGTGTGAGCAGATTACAATAACAGTGCTCATCTGGGAGAAGGGAGAAGGGGTGGCATGGTCGGTGGGCAGTTACAAACGTTAGCTCGGCCCAGACTCGGTGGCCTCCAATATAAAATGGAGATGATGAGATCCATACTATCTGCTCCACCACTGCAGAAATGCGAGCTGTTGCTGGTGGCCTTCATGATTACAATTATGATTCCTCCAGCCTGGTATGGCAGTAACCCTATTACAGAAACGGCATTTTTCACTCCTACACATTATCTTGTTTTTAACATTAAAAAGAGCTGTATTTTAGGAGGCTTTTTCTGCATCTGTTGAAGTTGTGGTTATTGTTTTGTTAATAATGTGATTTATTCTGTTAGTTGTTTTCCTGAAGACAGACCACCTTTGTGCTCCCAGCATAAATTCCACTTTGTTGTAATGAAAAAATGTGTTGCACATGTTATGAAAATCGCTTTACCAGTGTTGTGTTGACTAGTTTGGCATTGACAGTATGGGTGACGTTCTGTGGGGCCCTTTCTCTGCTTCATCATTCTTCGGGAATCAGGGCTAGGTCGGTCTCAGAAAAGGACTTTAGGAGAGGGCCTTCTCCCTCCAGGTTTGAAAATCCTTAAGCAGCATAATGGGTATCTGTTCTTTAAATGCTTGCTACAATTCATTTGCAAATCTGTCTGCACAGAAAATGTTAGTTTTTCCCTCCTTCGCCACTTGTCCCTTTTTTCTTTCTGAGATCAGGTTGAAGTCGGAAGGACGTGCCCCAAGCTGGGTGTCTGGGTGACCCTGGACAAGTCTCAACCTCTGTGCATTTCAGTTCCTCATCCGTAAAAGGGCAGCAGAATACTTGTTGTGAGGTTTAAATGAGCTAGTGCAGGGAAAGTTTTTTTCCAAGCTTGAAAGTGCTCTCTCAGTGGGAGCTACTATTATTTTTATATCTCTGTTATTTTGTTAATTTCCATATTTTTATTTCTATAGCCATTCACCCATTTGGTTTAGGTTTTTAGTTTCGGCAGCATACAATTTAGTGCAGTTTCTTTCCAACAGGTTTCTTTAATTCTTTTCCACTTGAGAATTCCCCTTTTCAGTTTTGATCTTGCTCTCTTTTAAAAAGGATCAAATTAGCCTGTCACTGACCAATGCTTAAGTCTTTCCAAAAACAGTTCTGTTTTATTAGTTTAATTTTTAAAAACATTATCGCTGCTTTAATTTTCAAAATCTCTTTTGTGCTTGTTTTTGGGCTAATTTGCTTCTTTGACAAAACTGTCCTCCTTTTTTCCCTTTCATTAGTATGAGTATTTCAGGAATAGAAAGTTTGCCCTCACAACTGGTTTAGCAGTTTTACATGCCATCTTATGACTAGAATTCACTTTAATAGAATTTTACAATTGTTTTTAATGATTTGGTTTTTGTCCCCTTTATTATTGTTCGGCTTTGGTTTCTTTATGATTTTTGATTTTACATCGTTATCACCTCCAGATACTTTCTTCCTTGCCTCATTCCCTCCTCAGGAAGCCTTTGCTTATAATAATGATAAAACAAGGCCACACAGAAAGCTCTCAAACAGGGTCGATAAGAATTCTAAGTGAAACTCCCACAATTCCACAAAAACAAAAAGAACAATTCAGCCAAACAAAATCAAATATGGCCCATGGGTGACGTCATGCACTCTGCACTCACGGTCCCCCACCTCTCCAATGAAGGCAGGAAAGTGCATTTCTCCTCTCTTTTTGGGGGGCTCAGTTCCACTCTATTGTTCTTTCAGTCTATATTTTGAGAGTCACTATGCATACTGGTTTTTCTAGTTTGATTTCCTGCATTCTGCATCAGTGCATATATGTTTGCTCATGTTTCCCTGAAGTTTTCGTTGCCTTCACTTAGTCCATCTTTGTACCAGCAGCAACAACTTTGACAGTGAGTCCTAGGCTTTTCACCTTCTGGCTCCCTGCGTTTTCCCTTCTCTCTGTTGCGTAGAGGTGGCAAGAAAATGAGCACTGTTGGCTTACAAAGGGCTGCTGCAACCATGGAGAACATTGAATTACCTTAAAAGTTCATAAAAATAGTAACAGCAGACAGCCACAGTCAAGTCAAGGGGATCTGCAATCTTGTTGATTTGGAACCTCTTCCCAATGGTGTGGGCTATAAGGGGGTATGCACAGACATATATGTATGTGTGTATGTCTGTGTGTATGTATATATGGGATATGTGGGATATATATCCCACCATGATGAGCAGTTAGTTACCCCAGATATTATGACCCACACTTTACAGGTGAAACAGAGGCTCAGATAGTTTTGTGACCTTCCCATGGTCACACAAATTATAGGAAGCATTAGAAGGAGAATTCAAAGGCAGGTATCCCTAGACTCCTGCAGCTGGGTGATGCAGTGGATGGAGCACCAGGCCTAGAGTCAGGAAGACCTGAGTTCAAATTCAGCCTCAGACACTTCTAGCTGTATGGCCCTGGACAAGTCACTTCACCCAATTTGCCTCAGTTTCTTCATCTGTAAAATGAGCTGGAGAAGGACATGGCAAACCACTCCAGTTTCTTTGCCAAGAAAACTCCAAATGGGGTCATGGAGAGTCAGACGTGACTGAAAAATGACTGAACAACAACAACAGTCCCTTGACTCCATCCTGTTCATTGAATTGAAATGAATTGAATTGGGAATTCAGTCAATTTAACAAGAATTTATTAAGCATCTACTATGTGCCCGGCACTGAGTACAAAAATACAAACACATGACATTGTACTGATGGGATTCAACACATTCATAGTTAAGTAAATACAAAATGTGTAGCAAATGAATTTAAGCTAATTTGGAGGTGGTGGGGGACCACTCAGACATGGGGAAGGGGAAATCAAGAAAAGTTCCTTTCAGGAGGTGGGTTATGAGCTGATCTTTGAAGGGAGCTGGGGGTTCCAAGAGGCAGAAACTTTCTGGTAGGAGGGAGCAAAGAGGTCAGTCTGGCTATCACACAGAACACATGAAGGGGGGCTCTTGGACCCAGATCCTGAAAAGACTTCAAATGTCAGTTGGAGAAGTGTGCATTTGGGGTACCTTGGTCAGACTTGTGCTTTAGGAATAGGAATTTGGAATTGCATGGAGCTACTTGAATTGAAATCTGATGAAATGACTGAAGTTCTAGGGTCATCCATTTGGAGTTGGGAAGGACTGGCATGGAGTCCAATTCTCATTTTATCAAAGAGGACTGTGAAGCCCAGAGATATTAGGATGAGTGGCCAGGTCCCCTCTCCAGACCCAGCACTTTATTGCACCAGCTAAGTGACAGAACTGAAGTGACAGGCTTCTGCTGACCTGAATGACTATCTGAACTGTGTGGCAGGGCACTGAACCAAAAGAAACGGACTGAACGGCATTCAGCGGAATCGGATTGAACTGAACTGAACAGTAAGTAGCGAAACAGGCTCCCCTGCCCCCAGGGCTTTTTATCGGGGAGCACTCCGGGACAACCTCTTGTCAGGGATGCTGGGAAGGGTCCATGCTGGGGGCCAGGAAGGGTGTTGGGAGGGCATTAAGGAGGGCCCATGCTGTGGGAGGGGGGCTATACTGGGGAGAGCTAACTGTGATTGGTGCCAATTTTAGGATGGGTGGGTGGCGGTCCTGTAGGGGAGTTGACCCTACCATGACCTCAAGCGCTGACCTAGGCTGCCCTCATTGGGCACTGCCAGCCTAATACCAGCCCACTCATGCATACCACACCCTCAGTCGTGTAGCAGCGCCCCCAAAGGGAGGAGATGGCAGCAAAGCAGCCCCGACGCGAGGAGATGGAGGCGATGATGGATGCCTGGCACAGACTGGGCACCCTCGCTGATCTTCAGGGCGATTCTGGTGGCCGGCAGCAGCGTGGGCGCTCTCGAAGCCGCTGGCCTTGCTGGGGCCCAGAGGAAGCTCCCCTGCAATTCGAGGCCCCCAGCTGCGGACTGGGTGCAGGCACAGCTCAAGAAGAGGGCCCCTCCCGGGAGGAGGGCGCCTGTGGTCCTGCTGGGGCCGTTGGGGATGCTGAGGCAGCAGCTGCTTCGAGGTAAGTACAGCTTGTGTGCAGGTTGGGAGGGGGGCGATTCTCTTATTTCTTGTGTTGGGGGGGCCCCCTGAGGACGCTGCCGAGGTGGCGCCAAGCCGCAGGCGCGCACTCCCCCCACCTCGCGTGTTCGGGGGACTGCCTGCACGTGAGCCGAGCGCGCCCGCGCAGGCGCCCCCCCTCCCCCACCCGCCCGCCCGCTCGTGTCTGGGGGCTTCCGGTGGGCGAAGTGGCGCAGGCGCCCTGTCTCTCTTCTCCTCCGCAGTACCTGCCCAGGCGCGTGCGGAGGGCAGCAGCTTAGGGACAGCGAGGAGAGCGAGGGCAGCCAGAGGCGCAGGGAGCGCAAGGCCGCCGCCGCTCCAGCCCGGCCTCTCTTCCCCGAGGCGGCCAGAGCCATGAGCGGGAATCCAAACTTGGCGCTCGGGGCCCGCCCCCGGCAGCCCATGGGCGGGCGGGGCCAGAGTCGAGGGGAGCTGCGAGAGGCTGCCGAGGAGGCGGGGGCGAGCGCCGGCGCCGGCGGCCGTTGGCGGGCCTCTAGCCCCTCCCCGCCCCCCGCCGCGGGCCCACTGCGCTACTCTCTGCGCTCCCGGGCCAGTGCGGCCGAGGCGGCCGGCGGCGGCCTGGACGAGGGCCCTTCCACCTCGGGTTTCGGGGTGGCTGGAGCCAGGTGAGGAAGAACGGGCCCCGGCGGGAGGGGGAGGATCGGCCTATCGGGGTGGTACGGGCCCCCCACCCCCGGCCACGGGGGGGGGTGGGGTTCGGCCGATCGGGATGGGGGGCTCGAGATGGGGGGGGCATCGGCGAAAGGGGCAACGGCTACGGGGCGGGGGCAATGATTGGAGTAATGGAAGCTTCTGGAAAAAGGAGGGTGCCGGCAGCGGGGGGGGGGGGGCCTTAGGACTCGGCCAGTGGAAGCTTCTGGAAGACGATGGGGAGGGCTTGATGGGGGGGTCACTGGCTATATGAGGGAGGACTCGGCCTATGGAAGCCAGTAAAATCCAGCCTGGGAGAGGAAGGGGGAGGGTGCTTGGCGGGGCTCGGAATAGCGGGTGGGGGAGGGGGGAATTGAGAGAGGTAGCGGCCTTCATCATCTTCTGGGCTGGGGGCGGGGCTTAGGCAAGGAAGATTTGGGAACCCGCGGCCCTGTACGGGGAGCTAGGCCCTTGGAAGCCGGTAGTGTTACAACCTGGTGGCTTCTGGAAGAGGGAGGGGGAAGGAGGTACGCTCGAGAGATGGGGAGGGGATGCAGGGAAAAGGGCGGTCCCAGGAGGAGAGGGATGCGGCCCTGGAGGGGGGTTCGGCCAAAGAAGCCTGATTGTAACCTGGGAACTTCTGGAAGAGGGGAGATACTGGTGCAGGGGGGCTGGAATCTGGGCGTGTGCTCATTCACCGAACTGGGGGAAGGTAGTGGGAGAGATGTGGGTGGGCGGACCTTCAGCTAGCCTTCAGGCTATGGGAACAGGCTTAGTGAGACACCTAGTGGTACAGTTGTGTCTAGTGAGGAGGCCTTAAAAAAGGGTGTGTGTAGATGTATGAAGGATCCTTCTAACAGGATGGTGGGGGTTGGGTTTGATAGTGGCTTTCAGGACCAAGATGCAGTTGTGGGGAAAAAATCACCAAGAAGGAAGAGAGGCCCATGCAGAAAGATAGTGCCGGTTCCTCTAGAGGTGAGTCTCCTCCCACCCTTTCATCCTGGCACTCAAGGTCCTTGTGTAGTTCCTCAGGAAGGAAGAAGAGCCCTCTTCCTTGGCCCTGTCATTTTTTCCAACCCCAGAGCATCTTCTGTCAGAAAATTCCCTCTTTGTACCTTAGAACCAGCCTTAGAAACTGGCCTTGGAGGTTCTCTGCCTGTGGCCTCCAGGGAGTGCATTTTGAGCTGGTTTTGCTCCTGCCTTCAGACATTAGTCTTTCCTTTCACCAGCACGTCCAGCTGGGAAATGACTCACCAGCTCCTGATGCCCATTAGGCAAGGACAACTTCCTGGATTTCCCTGCAGTTGGGAAGCCCATCTCCTCTCTTTCTTTTCGCCATTGCAGGTAGAGAAGTCTAACAGTGATGAAGAAAGAGATGAGACCAGCAGACCAGCCTGCCCTGATGAGGAAGAAGAGGAGGAGGAGGAAGAGGAGGAGGAAGAAGAAGAGGTTGCTGGGGCAGGTTTGAGGAACCTGCAGTACAGGACTCAGTCCAGGATTGAAAAGAAGGTATAAGCTGGCCTTTCTCTTTCCATCCACCTCAACATGTCTGTCATCCTGCTGTCTTTAAAATCTTCTCCCTTTTTTGGTGCTTTGTCATCTCAGTTTCCCTCTGTTCCCTTCCCCTTCCTCTGATAGCCACAGCCTTCTTCTGTCTCTCCCCAGGTCTGTGAGGTGGTCCAGTACCTGCTAGTGAAGGATCAGACAAAAGTGCCCATCAAACGAACTGGTGAGTGATCCGCACCCTCTCAGCTCAGCTCCAAGGATCCTTCCTGCCTTCACCAGCTGTGCTCTGGGCAGGCTTCCTTCCTGCTCCTGAGAGGAAATAGCCCCAGTTTGTCACACTTCAGGCCTGCATTTGTGTCCAGGGGTTTAGATTTTCCCCCATCACTTCATCAGAGTAGCAGGGCAGAGATACACACCCTTTTGTCTTAGGAGTGCCTTGTGTAAAGATCCAGTAAAGGATGTTGAAGGGACAGACGGGGTGTAGGAGAACTAGGACAGAATAATTTGATGAAAACCCAGATGGCAGAAGTGACCAACCCATGTCTAATTCTGGGGAAAGGCCAAGGATGAGAGCCCAGCCTCTAGGCAGATCTCGGTTTTGGTTGGTAGGAAGTTAGAACTGTGGCTGTTCCTTATTCCCCATAGACATTGTGAATACCATAATTAAAGAGTACAAGGAAATGACCACAGAGATCATCAGCCGGGCTGGTCAGATGTTGGAGCAGGTCAGTGGAAGCTGCCATATCATCAGATGTTAGCTGGAGGATATCCAGTGTAATCTTCCCTCATTTTATGGGTGGGGACTAGAGCCCTGGATTCTTGTCCTCGTGGGATGCCCAGCCCTCCCCGTGTTAGCATTTCAAGCAGATGCCCCTCTTTTTCTTCTCTCATTTGCCCAGATTCCTCAGGGCATCTGGATGTTAAATCCAGGTCTGTGTCCTCTTAACTATGGCCACCCTGACCCTGAATTCCACCCATCTGCATTTTGCCTGGCATCCCTTCTGCTTCCCAACTCTGTCCCAGCCTCCTACCAGCCTTCAAGGCCCAGCTCTATTCTCCCCTCCAGTCCTCTAGTCCTGAGAGTTGGAGCTCCTTGGACCCCTTGCCCTTAGATACACCCTATCTTGTCTCATTCTCTGACATTGGGGTTCAGTGAATGCTGGTTGCTGGTATTTTCCCATGATTCTCACAGTTTCCTATCTCTTAGGGTGTTACCCATCTCCCTCCTATCCAACCCCTCTTCTCTCCCTTGACAGGTGTTTGGAATAGAGTTGAAGGAGATTGATGACAAGGCTCCTGCTTATGTGCTCCTTAACAAACTGGAGCCCCTGGAAGATGACTGCATGAGACCGTAAGAGGGAGAGCCCCTTACCTCCTTTCCCCCCATACTCACTCCCAGAGTTCTGGGACCTCCTGTTCCTCCAGACTCATGACACCAGACTGGGAGGAAACTGTCCTGAACAGGAAACACATGAGAGGAATTGGTGTGAGGCCCCCTGGCCTGCCTTTGTAGCTAAGAAGGGCCCTCAGGACTGACCTAGGGTTCACTACTCCTGTTTTATGTGGTCCCAAGAGGGGAAGGTACTCTGGGGCAATTGGCGATGAGGAGCAGAACTCCAACCGAATCTGGAAAGGGACGCTAGATGATTGAGTCTAGCCCAGTCCACTTGTTTGGCAGAGGAGGAAACTAAGGCCCACGAGTGACTTGTCTGAGATTGCACAGTGAATTGGCATAGCTGGTGCTTAGGAGGCATGAGGACTAGGTTCAAGCGCTGGGATCTTGGAGAGACAAAGGGTAGGGGGTGGGGACTCTTTGTGGTTTGCTGGGCCTTGGAAGGCTTCCCTTGGAAATCAGCCTCCCATAAAGGTGATAGGCTTCTCCATTTGTCTTCCAGAAAACATGATACAGCAAAGATGGGGCTTCTGATGGTGATCCTGAGTCTCATTTTCATGAAGGGGAATGCTGCCAAGGAGGGTAAGCAGCCCCATCCCTCCCCTATAGGAGGGAGGCAGGATGGGGTCTAAAGGAATCAACTTGTGCCCATTCATCCTCTTTCTCCTTATTCTCTGTCTCTCTTCAACAGCTGTTGTTTGGGACATGCTCAGGAAGATGCGACTTAACCCCGAGTACGGTGTAGTGATCGAATACTTTCCCTTCTCTTTTCTTGGTCATCCTATCCCCATGGATAGGATTTGTCAGTCTCCTGGCCCCCACCTCCCCCGCCCCAGGCTGGCAGGCAGGCTGACCTATTTCTAACAGTGCTAGGGGTTGATATGGAAACCTCTGAGACTGGGTATTCTCCCCCAACCCCTTGGATTCTTTTAGCTGTGCTGAGAAGGCCAGGCCAAGGGTAAGAATGAAATCCAGCCCATGGCTTCTTCATTGAGTTCCAGCACCAGGAGGCCCATTGGAACTGTACTCACTCTCCAACAGTCTTGTGAAGTGGGAGGTGCAAATATTATCACCCCCCAGTTTATAGATGAAGAAACTGAGGTTCAGAGAAGGTTCCACGTTTTAAAAATATTTTCATATTAACTTTCTCAGAGAGTAATATTGCATTTCATTACCACACCTTAGTTTCTTCAGCAGTTCCCTGGATTTTGTTTCTTGCCAAGAGTGTTGCTGTAAATGCTTTGGTGTGTACAGGATTTTCCCCTTGGTCTCTGCCTTCAGCTCATGACCTCATAGATCCAAAGCTGGGAGGGATTCTTGAGGAGTGGGTCAGACTAGGCGACCTCAGCGGAGTCTTTGCTCATTCTGAGATTGAGGGACATAAGAAGGCTAATAATTAGAGCAGACCCTGGGTAGAAAAGGCCGTCCCCACACACAGCAGGCTTCCCTGAGCCAGAGGTCATGGACCGCTTGGTTGAGAGGGAAGACTTGTTTCCATACAGCTTGAGCTAAGGGTCCTTCCAGCTCCAAATCCTCAATCATAATGACCCAACAAGAATAACTCTTAACTATTACAAAGGACTTTCAAGGGTCTTCTGGCCCATCCCTCCCAGAGACTTCCTTCACTGCCACTGAGTTAGGCCATTCAATTATGGGACAGCCGTTATTCTTGGAAAGTCCTTTCTCATGCGAATTTGATGTTTGCCTCCCTACGATTCTCACTCACTGCTCCTGACCCTGCTCTGGGGATCCTAGCAGAACAAGCCTGAATTTTTACTCCCAGGGCAGCTAGGGAGTGCTGTGGTGGCTGGAGACCTGAGGGGTCAAATCCAGCCACAAACACTAGCCATGTGACCCTGGGCAGGTCACTTCACCCTGTTTGCCTCAGTTTCCTCATTTGTAAAATGAGCTGGAGAAGGAAATGGTAAACTCCTCCAGTATCTCTGCCAAGAACACCCCACGTGGGGTCATGAAGAGTTGGACGTGACCAAAACGATTGAACAGCAGAAGCAGCAGCCCTTGATCAAAGCCTCCCTAAGGCTTCCCTCTCTCAGGGTGATCATGCCCTAGTTTTCTCAAGGGCTCATTTCCTTGAGAAATGTCTCTGTCTCTGACTTTGTGGCCCAGATGATTCCTTTGCATAAGCTAGAACAGCTTTTCCTTCTGTCTTTAGCAAAAAGCATCCACTCTTTGGGGATGTGAAGAAGCTGGTCACTGATGAATTTGTCCGCCAGAGGTGAGTTGGTACCACCTGAGCGGGCCTCCCCGGAGCCCTGGCAGCGCTGAGCTCTGTGTTTTGGGAGGTTGGTTTGGGCTCAGATCCTCCTTTCCTACTGGTTCAGAGCTAGGTCCCTCTCTGGGCTGTCAGATATGGACAATAAATCTTGCTCTATCTCCCTTACATGGTACTTGTGGGTAAACTGCTTTGTCAGTCTTGGGGCATGAACCATTAGGAGCCTCTTTGTTTTTGTGGTCATCTGTTGGTCTCCCTCTGCAGCCTTGTGCTTGTGCAGAGATCCCCTTCGCCCTTTGACTGGCAAGAGTGGTGTGATCAGAGCAGTTGGCAGAGAGCGTGGCCAGGCTGTTTACCACACACCACACAGTAAAGCCCGTGAGGTCCTTCAATCACAGGGGGGCAGGAGTGTTTGCCCCACTGTCTCTCAGTTGACCATACACATCCAGTCCTTCCAGCTTCGTAGCTCACAAGAGCACGAGATCATAGGAAGCATTGGGCTTGGGCTTGCAAAGAGGGGGAAGACCTCTTGGACAAAGGTGGCTAGGCCTTTGTCCCTGGGAGTCTGGGTGGAGGGAGAAGGCCAAGCTTGGAGATGAGGGCTCTTATTTTTCTTCATCCCCAAGGTATTTGGAGTACAACCAGATTCCTTACACTGACCCGGAGGAATACGAGTTCCTCTGGGGACCCAGAGCTTTCGTAGAGACCAGCAAGATGCAGGTCCTTCGCTTTGTGGCTAAGGTAGTAGCATGGGTCGGGTGAGGTATGGGGAGGGGCTTGAGGTGGGGGAGATCAGTTGCTTCTCACCCTCTGGGCCTGAGGGAGAGGGGGCCCTGTTGCTGTTTAGCTCCTTGGCTTCTAACAGGTGACCACCTCTGCTTTCTCCTAGATCCAAAGGAGGGACCCTCGTAGCTGGGCGGTCCAATACAATGAAGCCCTTCAGGAAGAGGCAACATCTGCATCTGCATCTGCCTCTGCCTCTGCCGCTGCTTCAGTTTCAGCTGAGGCGGAGGCCGAGTCTGAGGCTGAAGCTGAGGCCGAAGCCTGTGCCTGTGCCTCTGCCGCTGCCGCTGCCTCTGCCAGTTTCCTGGAGTAGGCGAGGGCCCCATGGAGGTGGCTGTCCCAAAGCACCAGAAGCATCATTTTCCATGAGCCGTGTGCCCTGTAGTTATGAGTTAGGCCCTATTCCCTCTGTAGTCCTGGTCCAATAAAACTGCAAGGCGATCTCCGTGGTCTTTTCGTGCGCCTCTGGGCCTGCCCCTGAGGGCGCTGTGGATGAGGGCTCCCCAGAAGGTCCCTGGCCTTGAGGAGCTGGGCTCTTTGGAGGGGAGCAGTTGCTTGGCCTTGGAGCCACAGACACGACACAGGCTTCGTCACCCTCACCCCCCAGCCCACCCCCAGATTGTACAGGTGTGTGGATTTGTCCTGCTTATACTGAAGTTCACAGACTTGGACTGTGGCCTTGCAGTCTGTGCTAATATTAGAAAGCACAGTGCCTGGTGCACAGTAGGAGCTTAATAAATGGTTGGCCTCTTCCCACACAAGTAAATAACTGACATTCTCGGGCCCTCCTAAGATTTTGCTTAAATAGCTTCCAGACTCCTGGCATGCTGAAAGACTGAGCCGTACTTAGGTAGCATCATATTACTGTTGAGTCATTTCAATCGTGTCTGACTCGCTGTGGCCCCCTTTTGGAGTTTTCTTGGCAAAGATACCTGAGTGGTTTGCCATTTCCTTCTCCGGCTCATTTTGCCGATGAGGAAAGTGAGGCCAACAGGGTGAAGTGACTTGACCAGGGTTACATGACTGGTGAGTGTCTGAGGCCAGACTTGAAGTCAGGAAGATGAGGCTTCCTGACCCTAGGCTCAGTGCTCTACCCGCTGTGCCATCCCATGGCCCCATACTGTCATAACCTTTGTCATCTTCTGTCCCTGGGCCTTGGGGGTTAGCTAGCTTGAGCAGCCTCAATAAGGAGGCAGGAGGGAGCTGGCAGCCAGCTCCTAAGCCAGTCAAGCACAGGTAGAGATGGGGACTGGACCTGGGATACTGTGCCCTGTGCCTCGCAGACAGAAAGTTTCTTAGAACACCAAGGGAATGTCACGCAGATGGATTGGGGGTAGGGCCAGGCCCAGGTCTTGTGGCTCAGAGGCCTACTGGCTTTTCCCGCAGAGATATAACCACACATTGCAAGACCGTGATGTGGCCTTGAGCTGTGTGGTTTTGATTCTCCCTTCAGAGCTGGATGCTTCCCGAGGGTTGGTTCAATCTGACCTCAGTTGGTTCAGAGAAGGAAGAAGCCTTGGGGTAATCCACTCCAACTCTGTTTGCAAGAGGGGAGAAATAAGGGCTGTGATTTTGCCAGTGTTCCCAAAGGAGTTGGGGGCGGGGGGGGGGGTCTAAGATAATTACGGACACCAGTGGCCGGAGTGTTGTGAGAGGAAGGAGACTCCAGGCACGTTGATGTCTCCCTGGCCCTCCCCCCACCCCCACCCCTCATGGGAGCCCTGGATCATCTCATGATTGGCTGGCAAGTACTGTGGTCTTGTTTCACCTACAGAATAATCCATGGGAAGTGCTCCAGAAATGCCAGTGGGTTGAATTAAGCAAGCTGACCATTTCAAATGATCTCCCCCCACACAGAGAATCTGCTGATTTTATTGTGTTGCAAGGTAAGTCCACGTGGGGGGGGTGCATGAACTGCTTGGATTTCAGCATGTGAACTGTTGGGGGTACCTCGAGATACTCTTCATCCAGGAAAGGCCCAGTAGACTTGGGGTCAGTCCTTAGCTGTGCCCCTGGGAATGCTGAGTACCTGCGGCCACATGGCGTAGGCAAGGGCCTGCTTGGGGGCAATGTTAGTGGTTACCTTTCTTCCTTACCCTTTTGTATCATTGGCTTCTCTGCCTCCCGCCCTCCTGCCCCCACCCTCTTTTCTGATCTGCCTTGGTTTCCAAAACTAACATGGCTAAACCAGGGCCTGGCTTTGGTCTTTGCTCAGCTGTGAGACTGGAAGGCTGGATGGGAGATGTGGATCCCTTTGCTAGCAGGTAGGCCAGCCTCTGGCTGTGGGAATGAGAAGGGAAGGTGGCTCTGTGGCCTGTCCCAAGACGCTTAGTAGTGAGCTGGCACTGTATCCAGGGCTTCTTCAGGTTCACGGGTGACATCCACGTTCTGAAACAAGAGGGTGGCAATATAGGATGAATTCTGGACCGAAAACCCAGGAGACCTGGATCCTGGCCTCATTATTGCTATCCTAGTGTGGGACCTTGGGCAAGGGCTTTCCCTTCTTCTTTCTCAGCCTCAGTTTCCCTCTACCTGCCACCCTGTGAAGCAAGGAGGCTGTACTCAACTCAGGTGCCTTTCAGTCCTGACATTCTGTGGCCACAGTTCATTTTGGCCCAGAGGGAGCTGGCTAGGCTTCAGAACTGTAGACAGAATGCTCTGGCCTTCAGGGCCATTTCTGACCTGATTTCTCACTTCTTCCTTAGGGCACCTTCCACTCCTGCAGCACTGGGCTTCGCACACAGTGAGGACAACAGTGGCCGAAGAAAGCTCTGCTTATTAGTGGTGCTGACTAGGGGCAGCTGGGTGGCACAGTGGCTAGAGCCACCGGGCCCTGGTCAGGATGACCTGAGCTCAAATCTGGCCCCAGACGCTCACTAGCTGTGTGACCCTGGGCAAGTCATGTCACTGCTGCCTGCCTCAGTTTCCTCATCTGTAAAATGGGGACAATAATAGCACCTACCTGTTGGAGTTGTGGTGAGGTTCCAGTGAGATAATAATTGTAAAGTGCTGAGTACAGTGTATGGCACCTCATAGGCACCTAACAAATGCTTGTTACGTGTCTGCCTTGTGGCAGACTGGGAAGGAGAGACTCCAGAGGCCTGGCCAGGGCTGTTTCCTCCTGACTCCCTCACTTCTCTGCATCGCTGTGACCACCACCGGCCCTTAGCACATCCTTGCTTGAGCTGTTGAAGCCAGCCAGTAGGTTGTAGGCAATCAGGCAGGAGGAATGAGGTGGAGTGGTAGCCCCCCAAGAGAGACTCCCTGGGCCAAGGGAGGGGAAGGGAGGTTTACCTGAGCGGTCAGGGAAGGGAGGGCTTCACTCAGGTCTTCCAGGGAGGGCTGTTTGGTTGGTGGGGGGCTGGCCAGAGGAACAGGGTGGAAGTTCCTGTGTGTGGGAGCATGGCTAGCTGAGCAGATGGAGGGGGGTGGGGTGAGAGAGGGGAGGACAAAAATACAGGTGACAGCCCCCATCGCCAGCCCTCTGTGAAGCCTTCCTGGATTGCTCCAGCTCATGGAAGGGGAGACACATAGGAAGAGAGGGAGGCTGGACAGGGGACCAACGTAGGGCCAGTTCTGCTTTGGGGGCACGAGACAGTTCTTCTAACCAACCACCACTAACAGCCATAGACTCTTGGAGTCAAAAGGAACTTAGCTTAGCAACTGGGTCTGACTAACACAGATGAGGAAACTGAGGCCCGACAGAGACAGGAGGATGCCTTCCGGTCTCCTGCCTCCCCCTGGCCTCTCCCCTGGAAATGTGACAGCAGGCACAGGTGCTGTGTCGGCCCTGAGATCTCTGTTTCGAGATCACTGTGCCCAGCTAGCTGCCCGCTTTCCAGATGAAGAAATTTAGGATCCAACAGGAGGATAAGAAGATCTATTGTAGTGCCACCCCCACTCATCTCCCACCCCTACTGCCAACACAGTGGAAGGACATATGTCCCTTAGCTGCAAGATCCCACCTTGAATTAGGAAACCGAGTGGGGCTCTGGGTCACTTCCCCGAAGTCGCCCATCTGAGGCCGAGATGGGCAGCCCCCCACCTTTCCCCACTCCTCTCATCCACACTCCCTTGGCTGGCCTGGCCCTGAAGTATAACAGGGTGGCTGGCTGGCAGTCAGGGCGGAATCAAGGCTGCTCCCGCAGTGAAAGATTGTTGGCTGAGCTAGTCTCGCCGTGGGGTGCTGCCTTCCCGTGTCAGTGGGGAGGGACCCAGGCTGATGCTAACAGGGGGCAGGGCATGCCCGGCCTCGCTGAGGCAGCAGCTCTGGGGCCATCCACTGCCCGCCCACCTACCTCGGGCTTTTCCCGGTGGGTGTTCACCGCCTCCACATTCAGGTAAATGGACTCAACTTTGCAACCTGAGAATGGGGGAAGAGAGAGAACAACTTGTCAGTTCCACCACACTCACAAATGGAAAGGGCCTTGAATGGTCACCAAGCTCAACCCTTGCGTTGACAGAGACAGAAAGGAGGGGAAAGGAGAGAGGGGAGGGAGGAGGAGAAAGAGAAGAGAGGGAGAGAAGGAAGGGGAAGAGAGGGAGAGAAAGAAGGGAAGGGGAGAAAGGAGAGGGGAAGACGAGAAAGAAGGGAGAGGATGGGGAGGATGGAGGGGGAGAGGGACACAAAAATAAAGAAGGGGGAGAGAGGAGAGAAGACAGGAGGGAGGGGGAGAGACAAGTGGGGGGAAGAGAGAGCAGGAAGGGGAAAACAGGATAGAGAAAAAGGAAGGGAGTTCAGGACAGTAACCAGGGCCGCCCACAGTTAGGGGATGGGGACACATGCTGCTGGTCCAGCAGAGGAGCCGGAGGAGGAGCCGGCAGGCAGGCAGGTAGGAAGGAGAACAGGGAGCGTGTGGGGCCAGAAGAGGCTGCTGAGAGGTCAAGGATGAGGAGTGACAATGGGGCCTGCAATTTTGCAGTGATGAGAAGAGCAGAGCCTTTGGTTCTGGGTCAGTGTTGAGGTTGGAAGCCAGACTGCCGAGAATTAGGAAGGGACTGAGAGGAGAGAAATGGAGGCAGCAGATGTGTTATGAGCTGTGAAAGGGCTAGGAAGTAGAGGATACGAGCTTGAAGTACTAGTAATGACACTAGGACTCTGAAGGCCTTGCCATGAGGCCTGTACTCTGCCCCTGGCATGCTGGATGGCATTGGGTGTGCTCCTGCATCTCTCTGGGCCCTAGTCTTTCTGTCTGTAAAATGGGTATGCATATGGCTGGAAGGGGGAGAGGAGCATTGGGTGACTCCATGTATCCCTTCCGACTCTGATGCACTGTGTGGCAGGTGTAGGGAGGAGAAAGTTGGTGGCAGTTACCATACATGGGGAACCTGGGGTACAATGTGGCACTCACCGTAAGCCACTGGGGTGAGTTTGAGTACCGTATGCAGGGGACATTTGAGATAAGGCAGCTCCTCTGGAAAGGAAGGAAGAAAGGGTTGGCCAGAGGAAAGACCCTGTCCATCCACCCACTGTCTTTCCACCCATTCAGCTCCCCCACCTCCTAGCCCTTCTCCTCATCCATCTATCTACGCACCAGCAAAAGCACATGCCAACATATCATTCTGGGGCTGGGGAGGATGGTGGAAGTGATGGCTCCACCCATGTTCCTGAAGGTCTCCAGCAGTGGAAGACAAACCCTGCTTGCTACCACATTGTTTCTGCCAGAGGACCAATTCCCTAAGCACAGGGCCATGCTACCAGCAGACTGACTCCTAGGTGATAACCTCTTTGGCCATGGCAACCCACGGAACAAAGAGATCCACAATGTGAGAGCACAAGTGGCCTTGTCCTTAAGGGAGCTTAAAGGATAGCGTGGCCAGCCTGCATGCTATCAGAACTGGAGGGAGGCCCTGATTCTTCCTGGAGGATTGGGAGGAGGTCAGGCAAGAGTCCATCTGGATGACAGGGTACCCAGTTGGGCTGAGATCTGCACCCACCTTGGAGGGAGGAGCGCCATAGACATGGGTTCCATGGAAGGATCCATAGATGGGGCTAGGGCTAGGGAGTGGTGAGGAGACTCCCTGTGCCAATGCAGCATAGTCTTACAGAGTGGCCTGGGGCCCTAAGGACTGCCGTGACTTGGCCAGAGTCACTCGACCAGTCTGTTTCAGAGGACTTGAACCCAAACCTCCCATTTCTCGACTGTTTGAAGGTACATAAAATGATTTCCTCACAGCAATCCAGTAAGAAAGAGGAGAAAACTGAGGCTAGAGGGCTAAGGGACGCATGCAGGGTCACTTCCTGGCTTGCTGTCCCTTCCCAGGGTGCTGCGAGATGCTGTGGCCGCTAGTTAGCTGAGTTAGGCTGAGCCTGGCCAACAGACGCCCAGATGAACACTGAGCCTGGCGTTCTTAGAGCTGCCACAGGATGCATTCCACTGGTGTCGTCTTTGAGAACCCAGTTATGCCATCCCCCCTTTATTTTTTTTTTTTTGCAGTAATGCTTCTCTTTTAACAGATAAAATACGTTCTACCCCTACGTAGCACTAGGCTTTGCCTGCTCCATGTCTTTGAAGACTTCCTGTACGGGTAGCATCTCTTTTGCAAATGGCGTTTAGTAATAATGCTGGTCTATCTCTTTTAGTAGAGGTCTGTTCATCTTTTTTTTTTAAATTAAGTGTTGGTATATCTTGTCCTAAGCAAACCACTAATAGGACCATGGCAGACTGCTCGAGGTCTCCCACAGGCTGTGTCTGCTTTGGATTTAAGGGTCTCCACTGAGGACTGTTTGCCACACGTAGTGACTGCCTCTGGTCTCCCTTTACAGCCCCGCTCCTCTCCCCACATGCTCACCCACATCAGGGTGGCCCAGTCCTTGCCTGGCTCTGGCCTGGACAGGATGTTTGGTGTTACCTGCACTCTTATCCAGAAAGTAGGCCAGGAGACAACGCATCACAGCCTGGTGGCAGATCACCAACACGTTCTCCTGACGCTCCAGTTCCATGATCACGGGCTCTAGACGCTGTACCAAATCCTCATAGGACTAGAAAGGAGAGACAGACCCTGGCATGAGCAAGAGAGGAGAGGAGCAGGAACCCACCTGCAGGCCAGAGGCAGGCTAGCGCCTCCTGGGGGGCACTCCTGGGAGGCCTGGCTTCTTGGTCCTGGTTTTGTCCTTGAAATCCCCACCCCTCTCAAACCCACTGCTCACACCCCTGGTCCTCAGATTCTTTCTCAGCACGATGAGCCTGATGCCCCTGGTCTGCGGGGTGTGAGGTCAGGGGTAGGAAACCTACAAAGGGCATTGGTGTCTCCCTCACTCCATTGGCCAAGAGAGCCTCCTAGGGAATTCGGAATCAAAATGGCTTAGGGATGAGGGAGTGAGCTGCCCTGTGCCCATGTGGAACTCGTATCATCCACATGAGGCAGGTCGTTTTTTGCTGATCGTGGGCTCTCCCTCCTGGGCCACTGCAGCCCAGATAGAGGGTATAAGTACTGTGGGTGGAGTCTCAGGGTAGGTAGCAAGTGAGTGGAAGGGGGGTAGGTCTGAAACCAGCCAAGGAGGCTCCTCCTGGGGCTCTGGGACTGGGGCTGCCAGGTGCCCCCCTCACCTCTCCCTTGGGGTAGCGGTAGCGATATTTGTCCTGGTCTCGAAGTGCAAATTCTTCTGGGTAATGCTGTTGGATCTCTTCATAAGTCATCTCTTCACAGACACCCTAAAATGCAGCGGCAGGAAAGAGCTCTGGGCCAGTAAACTGGGATGTGGGCACATGCAGCTATGCACAGAACAGAACATGCTAGGGTTTGTGTGTGTCTGCTTTCATTCTATGTCTCTAGCTTCAGCGTGTGTTGGGGGAATATACATGTGTACATCTGGAGTGTCTGTGTGTGTGTGCATGCACGTATGTGTGCATGTGCATGTGTATGTGGGTGTATGCATATATGTGTACCTCTGGTACAGGTGTGTGGGTCTGTGGGGTGGGTATGTCTAATAGTGTTCATAAGAGTGTCTGTATTCATGTATGCATAGCCATAGCTTTGTGTGTGTGTGTGTGTGTGTGTGTATGTGTGTGTGTATCTGCAGTTTCTGTATGTGCTTTCAGTGTTTGTGTTTGGCTCTGGTTGTGCACATGTGTCCCTGGCATGTCTATAGCTATGTGCCATGTTCAGTGTGTCTATGGAGTGTGTATATATGTGTTTAGTTTCTGCCTGTTTGTGGTATATGCAAATATATGCGCCTGTGGTATGTATGTGTCTATGTACATATATGTATGAATGTATATTGGGGGATGGTATGTGTGTGCATGCCGGGATCTCCCCAGAAGGTTGCTGTCTTCAGGGACCTTGTTAGGCTATCCCCCAGTAGCATCCTCTTGAGTTGACAGGCCTCCCTCCATTCATCCCCCCCTCACTCACAGCATCTATCTCATTCAGGGCCTTCCACTGCTCATAAGGGACCCTCAGGGCCTCAGCCGTCTGGATAGTTCTCTTCATGTGGCTTGTCCAGACCTTCAGGGAGCTGATGTCCTGAGACTGGATGAAGTTAGCTAAGGTGTGTGCGTACTGCAGAGTAACAGGGAGAAGGGAAGTGGAGACTTTCTCTTTAGGCCCTGCCTGCTGCGACATGTCAAGAGAAACCCTCAATCCAAGTCAGCCCTCATTAGTTAGACGCCTACTTTTGTGCAAAGCGCTGTGCTCAATTGTGGGGACAGAAAGGCCCAAAGGAGACAGTCCTTGCCCAAACTGTGCTTCTTTTCTATCTAGAGGATGCTGTATGCACAGAGAGGGGCAACTTCCAAGTGATTTGAGGAGAGAAAGCATTAACAGCTGGGAGGAATCAGCAAAGTGTTAGGTGGGAGGTCTGACCTTCAAGGAAATTACAGATTCGGGGGTTGATGGAGTTGAGAGATGGACTATTGAGTTTGGGAAACTGCTAGCAGTCCAGTTAGGCTGGAATGTGGAGTGGGGGTGGGGGATAAAGTGAAATAATGCTAAAAAAAAGAAAGGCAGGCAATAAAGCTAGATCAGTGAGCTGCAGCTACACTGGGGGCCTTTAATGCAGGCTGAGGAGCTGGGGTTTGATTCAAGGGACAGTAGGGACCCACTGAGGATCTCTAGCAGGGGTGGCATGCTCCAAGCTGTGTGTTAGGGCTTTTGTCCTGGAGAAGGGAGGGTCCTTTGGAAGCAGAGAGCCCAATAAGGAAGTTACCACACTAGGCCAGGCACGTGGTAGGGAAGGCATGATTCTGGGAAATGGGGACAATCCTCAGGACAAGATGATGAAGCATGAAGGAGGGAAGGGGAGGGCCAAAAGGCAGAGGCAGTGGGGGAGAAGGAAGAGAGAGGAATGAATCAATGAATGCATTCACGGCTTTAGAATTTACATTTCTGTGTTTCTATAAGTGAAGGAAGAGTTGAATGAAGGAAGGAGGGAACTATAGAAGGAATGAGTAAAAGGAAACAGGATTTAGTGGAGGAAAGAAGGAATGAGTGACAGAATAAATGAATAAGTGAAGGAAGAAGGGAATGAACAAAGGAATAAAGCCATGATGGAAGGGATGAGGGAGTAAAGAGAAGAAAGAATTAGTAGAGGAAGAATGAAATGAAGTGAGGCAAAGAATGCGTGGGCAAAGAAAGACATGACTGAAGGAAGGAAGGAGGCTGTAGAGAAGGGAGCAAATGAGTGAGGGGTGGAAGGGAGGGAGGGAAGGAGGAAAGGGTGGAGGGAAGGAGAGAGGAAGGCAAGGAGGGAAGGAGAGAGGGAGGGAGAGAGGAAGGGATGGAGGGAAGGAGAGAGGAAAGGATGGAGGGAAGAAGAGGGAGGGAGAGAGAGAAGAAAGGAGGGAGGGAAGGAGAGAAGAAGGGATGGAGAGAGGGAGGGAGGGAAGGAGGGAGGAAGGGAGGGAGAGAGGAAGGGATGGAGAGAAGAAGAGAGGGAGGGAGGGAGGAAGAAACAGAAGAATGCAGTTAGGTGAAGGAGAAGGTGGTTGCATTGAGTCCATTTTCCCATCTCCTTACCTGCTTGCCCCTGGTGGAAAGGCCTGAGTCTCCGCCAATTCGGCCCTTGAGGTTCAGTTCGCTCTCGCCATGCCGGCACAGGTAGATGGAGCGAGGTGTGACATGGATGTTCATAAGGTAATACACAGTGCGGCTCTGGATGTGATCCTGTACCCGGTTCACCAGATAACGGGTCCCCACGTCAAAGATCTTGATGTAAGACAAATGGCTGAAGGAAGAGCAAGGGAGACTCAGAGAAAGGACCTTTCCTAGGCCTTAAGTCCCCCACTGTGAGTCTGTCGCCTCCTCCAGGAAGGCAGCCCCCACACTTTCTTGTGTCTTCTTTTCCATAAGAGCTTCTGAACCTCCTTCCCCATGTCCAAGTGGGCCTTTCTCTCCCAACTTTGCCCAGAGCTGTGCTCTGCTCTTGCTAAACACTGCACACATATCTCGCTCTAGACAAGACCCGATTCAGGAAAAAAAAAACAAACAAACCCTATATTTCCATGGAAGAGAGTTTTGGGGGATGCTGCTTCACTTTACAGAAAGGGCTCCCCCTGGAATAGCCAGGCTCCCTCCAAGCCATCTGAGATAGGAGCTGCCCTGCATTTCTGCCCGTGTGTGTCAGCGCCAGCCAGAGAGATTCTGCCAGAGTCCGAAGTGCACTGATCGACCATCATTTTCCAGGCCGATGGCTGCGGGCTGCACTGCTCCCTCACCCCCGGGGAGAAAGTACACATACCTGCAGCCCCTGCCTCCCTCTCCCAGATACCACCCTCCTCTTCCAGTCTCTCTCCAGCTGCTGTCCACTCCCCCCACACCCCACCTTGATTCTGTCTCTGTACCTCCCTGGGTTGGCTGGCATGGCCTCGCCCTCCCTTTAGCAGATCCTTGGAAGCCCAGCTCCAGAGCTGGCCGTGCTGGGGCAGTCTGCCTTATCTTCTTTTGGTCCCTTTCAAGTCTCTCTTCCCTCATTCTCTCCTTTTTATTTCCTTACTCCTGAATTCTGTCCTCTTCCTCATGCATTCCTTTATGCATTCATTCTTTCCCTTGCCCATTCATTCCTTCTCCTATTCAGTCTTTCCTTCCTCCCCTTGCACATTTCTTCCTTTCTTCATCCCTTCCTTCCCTTTCTTTCTTTTCTTCCCTCACTCATTCATTCCTCTACTTAACCATTCTTCCATGCAGCCTTTCCTTCCCTCCCACATTTATTCCCCCATTCACTCATTCTGTTACTTTCTCAGCTATTCCTTCCTTCGCTCATTCCTTTCAATCCTTTCTTCATTTATTCTTTTTTTTACTCAATCCTTTACAATCCTTTCTCACCTCCTTCATTCACTCTCTTCCAGGCCTCTTTCTCTGGTATCAATCTAAAGCCAGCTTTCTTTCTCTGTTCTTTCAAGGACCTCCCTCCTTTTCCCAGCTTGTCCTACCTCCCACCCTTCCAAGTTCTCCTGGGCCTCAGACCTGTCTAGCTCCTCATCGATGGGCTGGTAATTCATCTCATAGCATTCAATTCTCTTCAGAAAGTCTTCCACTACCTTCTCCCGGTCACAGTCTTTGTAATCTGGGCTGCTCAGCTTGACTTGCTGAGAGACAGACAGACAGACAGACAGAGATAGAGAGACAGTGAGAGAGAGGGAGGGAGGGAAGAGGGGGAGAGAGAGAGGGAGAAGGAGAGACGGGGAGGGAAAGGAGGAAGAGAGAGAGAGGAGAGACAGAGACAGAAAGAGATAGGGAGGGAGAGAGACAGAGAGAGGGAGAGAAGAAAGGAGGGAGGAAGAGAGAGGAGAGACAGACAAAGGCAGAGAGGGAGAGAGACAGAGACACAGAGAGGGAGAGAAAGAGAGAGAGATAGAAGGAAGATTGATTTAATGGATGTCTTCCACACTCCTGAGCACGGACAGTCTGGGATGAGGTCACATAATCCCTTTCCAGGGAGGAGGATGGCCCACTGTGATCCGACTTTGGGTCAATGTCACTTCCCTCTGTGGGCCTCAGTTCCCCCATTTATAGAAAGGAATTGTACAAGAGTCTCTCCAAGGCCCTTTCCAGCTCTTAATCATGGGTTGTTTTCACTCTATGGGACTCACCTTCCTCCTCCTAAGACCAGAGCACAGTAAGGGGTTGGAGGGCCGGCTCCCCCAAAGAGATGGCTGTGCAATGGGGGAATTGGCCCTTAGGTTGAGCTCAGGAGGGCTAGGACAGGCGTTATGCCAGAGTGGGGCTCTCTTACTCTGATGTTCTCAGCAATGATGTCTGGGTCATCACAGATGGACTCAATGAAGAAAACCTGCAAGGGGACAAGAGAGGAGGTCCTCAGTTTCCCTTAGGGGCCTGGCATGTAAATATGAGCTCATGAAATTCCCTGTAAAAAGACACATTTGAGATGGAAATCTTGCTGAAATATCTGGCTACAACCTGGACAAGGATTCAGGACACCCACACGAAAGTTCTACTATGTGATTCTGGGCAAATCTCTTGCCCCCTCCTAACTTCTTTAAAATGAAGGGTTTGGACTATATGATTGCTAATGGCCCTTTCCCCGCATGGCTCTCTCTCTCTCTCTCTCTCTCTCTCTCTCTCTCTCTCTCTCTCTCTCTCTCTCTCTTTGCCTCTATTTGTGGCAATCTGGAGAGAGGGAGGAACAGAACACAGGGTGCTTTAGAAGTGTGCACAAGACAAAAGTTAAATCAGCCCTGAATGAGAGTTATTTTACCTTGTACCCATGCTCCTTGGCGAACTGCAGAATGAGTGACCGTCTTTCCCTAGTAGTATTGGTGGCATCAAAAACCTAGAGACAGAAGATAGTTTGGGGCTAGGCTGAATGGGGAGGACTTCCTGGAAGAGGAGGAGGAAACAAGGAGATGAGAGAGGAATTGGGCCTTCTCTGACAAGACAGGCAAGTGTAAGATTCCTGTGTGCCCTGCTCTTTGGGTGTCACTGAGAAAGGGAAGGCCCAGGTTCAAGGCCAGAGGTTCTGCCATGTAAGTGCTTGTGTGCAAGACATATGTGTGAACTTGGATGGTTTCTCACCCCTTTTTAGGCCTCCCCCCATTTGCCTCCTCTGTGACGTCATCCAGATTGCCCCAGATGACTTAATGGGGTCTCCCAGCTCTTATGCTTGGCCATTCTGACCCAGCCCAGAGAGACCCTTAGGTCAATTTACCGCTACGTGGCCTTCCTCATGGCCAAGGTAATCATGGACATCCTTCAGAGCTGCCAGCGCGCACTGCCTGAGAAAGGACAAACAGAGAGAGAAGGGGTCTGATGGAAGTGATGGAGGAGGGAAAAAGAGAGAGGGAGAGAGAGATAGAGAGAGGAGAGAGAGAGACAGAGAGAGAAGGTGATGGGGGTGGTAGGGAAAGAGGAAGCCATGGTAGGGAAGAGGAAGGGGTCAGAGGCCAAATGCTAAAGGTTGTCATGGGTGGTCAGATGAGCAGGAGATTAGTTTGGGCTTAGAGCCTCCTGGAGGTCAGGTCAAGTCTGGATCAGCAGAGGGGGCAGAGGTGGGGGCAGGAGGCCTACTGGGGTGGAAGGAGAGTGAACAGATAAGAGAAGGCTGGTGGGGTAGGGAAGAGGGAAGGGGTAAGGAAAGGAAGGCCCATGAACGAGGTAAGACTACTCACTTCCGGATGACCAGGGCTTCCTTGTTATCTGGCCGAAAGAACTCATAGTTCTTGTATTGGACGGCCTCTCGGCGGTACTGGCCTAAATTGAACACTAAATAGAGAGTTGGGAGAAAGCAGCTTTGAGTGGGTGAGTTTGGCACAAGGGGCTCAGGGGTGTGGTGATTTCTCTCAGTGCCATGACTTCTTCTTCCTGGGTCCAGGATCATTAAAGGTGGGAAGGACCACAGAAGGAGTCTGTATGGGGTTTAGTTCTGGGGACCACAATAGGCAGCGTATCCAGGGAAGGGCAACTAGGCTGGGAAGGCCCTCTGATTCATGCTATTAGTGCCCCTGTGGAAGGAGAAAAGCCTCAGGGAGGACAGGAGAGCTGGCCTCAGTTGTCTGAAGGGGACAGAACCCGGGCCAAGGGAGGAAGGTTTTCTTGACATCCAGCCACAATCTCCCTCTTTTGCCACTTGTCCAATTGCCCTCAAATCTTCTTTGCTTGAGGCTAAATGCCCTCGTTCCTTCGGTGGATCCTTGTATGACCCTGGTCTGCCTGCTTCCGAGGGCCTTCCCAGCATGTGTGGTCTGACTAGCAAAGAGGGGTGAGTGCTTCACACCCCCCTTATCCTCGACACTTGGGGTCATGTGCTTGGATCAGGACCTAGGTTCATAGCTACATTTAATTCACTGAGCATTTATTAAATGCCTACTACATGCAAGGCACTGGAGATACAGAGACAGACACAGAACACTTCCGGCTCTCAAGCAGGCCTCAGTTTCTATCTGGAGGGGGATGACCCTGCATTGCTTTGGAGTCACAGACCCCGAGTTCAGCTACTTGGGATACCTGGGAAAAACTCAAAGCCATGCGCTTTGACCCAAACAATGTTGTTGTATCTTTATTGGAGCCTCAGAATGACCGTGCATGTCTGAAAGTCCCAGGACCCAAGTTCTCCTGCTTACTACCTGGGTGACCTTGGCATCTGCCTTCTCGTCTCTGGAAGGTCCTGTCCAGTGCTAGGATCCCCTGAGGCCACTAGGTGGGGATGAGGGAAGTGGCTGACTCCGGGATCCTAGGAAAGGGGAATCTCTTCCTTCTGATGGGGAGCTAAGGAGTGGTGTCAGACCCTCGTTGGCCAGAAGGCTGTACGTACCTTTGGTTGGGGTCCCAATCCAGTTGAGGTACCTAGTAAGCTTTGTAGAGATATAGGTCTTGCCCCGTGCAGGCAGCCCCACCATGATCACCATCGTTGGGGAGTTGGTGAGCTGGGGAATGGATGCTGAAATTCCATTCAAATTGACAAACGTTTAGTAAGTTGCTCCTATATGCTTGGAAAGATGCTTGGTGCCACTCCCCCTCACCCACTCAATCCTTGCCCTCCTGGAGCATATGATCTAATGAAGCTGTGGGTGGGGCCGGGGCTGGGGAATCGGAGACTGTACGCAGTGCAGTACAAGGTAGCTTATGGCGGGGCATAGGAGAGACCTGGGCAAGATACCCAAGGAAAATGTAAAGATGGCGGGGCTGATGGAGCCATTCACCAAGATGGGTTGGGGCTAGGGAGAAGGCATTGAGCAATCCCGTCCCCTGACTGCTCCAGGGTGCCTTGGGCCTTGGCAGTGGTGATTGTCCACTTACCCCCTTAGCAGCCTGCCAGCATGGTGGAGGGGAAAGGCTTTTGAAGTCAGGGGAGGTCTAGGCTCAAACCTCAGCTCTGGCTTTCCTTACTGGACACAAGTAACCAGCCCTGTGAGTCTCAGTTTCCTCCCCTTTACAATAGGAGTGATAATGCTTGGGCATAGGAGGAAAGGGCTGGGTGAGCCTTCCAGCCTCCAGCCAGGTGGGCTATCATTATTGGGAGGCAGAAGGCCTAGTTTCAAATCCCAGCTCTTTTCCAGTGGTACCTTGGGACACTTCATCTTCCCAGTCCTTAGGTTCCCTTTTGTAAAATTAGAAGACTGGACTAGGTGGACTTTAGGGTCCTATACAGCTCCAAATACTAGGATTGAAAAGGCAGGGCTGGCATCTTTTTTGCTTAGCACCCCTCACGATGCCCTCTGGAGGCAAGGTGGGCACTTACTAAATGCTTGGGCTGGAATTGGGGTGCCTGCCCTCAGGAGAGGAGAGAAGTAGCCCCAGAGCCTGGACCAGGCCTGGGGGAGTCATTGGGGGAGTGGGGGAATGAAGTTAAGAGAAGGGGAGCTGAAGAGGTGGGGGGAGGGCAAAGTTCCCCTGGGCTTTTGAGAGGACAGGGTGCTGCTGGAAGCAGGCCCTTTGACCAAGGTAGGAGGAATGGACTGCTCCAAGGTCACACATTGGCATAACTGGGCTGCTGTGGCCTTATCTGCAGAGAATTTGCAGGGCCCAGCCCATAAAGCTCAGCACAGAAGCCCTCCCAGAGCAAGGGCAGGCTCTGTTATCTTTGGGGAACTGGCCCTCCTCTCTTCTTTGACAATATTTATGGCCCTTGACCTTCTCCTTCAGCCCCCTTCCCACTGCCTCCTCCCCATGTAACTTTTTTTTCCTGTTTGAATTTCAAATGAATTTTCTTCTTGCTTGATGTCCCTGGGCACTGAGGCATCTCCTTCCTTCCCTCTGTGTTCCTTTTTGAGGCCCCTTCCCGCAACATTTGGTTCCGGGACAGTGGGACAGTGTCCTCCCATTAATGGAAACAGGACACTTTGAAACAGGACTGAGGGAGGGAGGGAGGGAGGGCCCCACATGGTGGTTTTGTGTAACCACCACCTGTCTCCCACAGCTAGAGGGACTGAACAGAGACACGTCACCTCGCCTCACCCCAACCCCCAGCTGGGGAGAGGAGGTAGAGAGAAGGGAGTGAGGAGAGGGGCCCCCAGCGAAGGAACAAAACTTTTCCAGTCTTCATAAGGGACTCAGGAGAACTGGCTTCCACACTGAGGACTCCTGGCCCATGGAACCTTGGGCAAGTTCCTTTCCTCCTCTGGACCTCAGTTTCCCTGGCCATCAAATGTTGGGCTAGGTGATTTGCAAGCGCCTGCCCAGCTCTCAAGTTCGACTCTATTTATTTGCTGGCTGACCCACAGCAAGTCACTCCCACACTCTGGGTCTCAGTTTTCCTCTCTATAAAAGGGGTGTGTGCAGGTTGGAGGACAGGGTCTAGTCTGAGACCCTGATATTCTGTGATTCCAATTTGCAGCCTTGGGGAACCGTAAATGTCATGTTCTGAAGAAGAGACAGAATAGAATGTTCTAAAAATAAAGGAAAGGTTCTAAGTGGGAAGGGAAGTTTCTGAAGGAAAATAGAATGTTCTAAGCAATATAGCCCGAGGAGATAAAGAAATATCTAAAGGAAAGAGATGGAGCCTCCAAGAACCAGATGAAAGTGCAGGCTGAGAAAGTAAAGCACAAAGAGAGAAAGGGTTCTCCCAAGAAACAAATGGAGATTCCCCTCCTGTTCAGCTGTCTCTGGCTGCCCCTATCCTGACCCTGCCAGCCCCAATTACAGCCCTCCCAGCCCCACTTATAGTCCCCCCCCCAGCCTCACTTATAGCCCTCCCAGCCCCCCTGCGGGCCCAGCCCCACTTATACCCCCCCATGCCCCTGTGGACCCAGGGCCTGCTTACAGCACCCCCTGCCTCCCTGGGGGCCTAGCCACTTACAGCCCTGCCACTCCCCTGGGGGGCCCAGCTCCCCCCAACCCCACTTACAGCCTCTGCCACGCTGCAGACGGCTGCCGCTGGTATGGGGAATCCAGATCTTCTGTAGCCGGGTTTGGGTGAGTTCCCCCATCTCTTGGGACATGTCGGGTCTCCCTCCTTTTCTCTGCTCCTTCCCTCCCTCTCTCCCCCTCTCTCCACTTTCCCACCTCTGTCTGCTACTCCAAGGTCCTCGATTGCCTTGGCTAGGGCTCAGCAGGCTGTGCCTTCGCTGGGAGGGTTCCTGGGGGAGGGGGTGTTTGTAATATTGTCCTTCTCTGGTGGCCCCAGGCAGGACAGAGGTCAGTGAGGGAGGCCTCCGAACTGCCACCACCAAGTGCCTGTCTCCTAACTGTGTATGGAGCCGATAACCTCCAGGCCCCTTCTTCTCCTCCTCCTCCCTCTCCCTCCAGGGCTGCCAATGGACAGAGGGCTTTGGGTGTCAGTGAGTCCCCTCCCTCCTGCAACACACACCCTGCTCCGGGGGTGGGGGCAAGGATGGCCCCTGGGGTCATAGAGGCAGAGGTGGCTGCTGCCCTCTGAGGAAGCTGCCCCAGGCAATATCTTACCCCCCCCCCCCCCCCGTTCCCACTCTGGAATGGCCCTTTGTACCCTCCTGGGAGGCCCAGGGGAGAGAGAGACAAGAGGGGAGGATGGAGGTACAGAGTACACTGAGAGACTGAAGGACAGATGGGGAGACTGAGGCACAGAGGGAAGGCAGGTCAGAGGGAGGAAGGGAGGAGAAACGGAGGGACAGAGATAAGGAAAGATGGAGGGAAGCCCAGAGGGATATAAGGAAGAAGGAAGGGAGCAGAGAGCCATTCTAACAGAAGAAGGGAAAGAGAGATGGAGGGAGTCAGTGAAGGAGGGGAGGGAGAAAGGGAAAGAGGGTGAGAGGGTCCTGGTGCTCACTACTGATGTGGGCAAGGAGGAAGAGGAGGCTTGGGGTTAGGGGAGCCTCTGGCTGGGGATCCTAGGGCAGTGTCGGGGTCACTGCACTGCACTGGCCACGGGCCCCAGAGCTCCTCTGGGAGCATTGGCCTGTAAGTAGGACAGATGGGTCCCTGGCCCAGAGAGAGGCTACACAGCAACCTCCCCCACCCCACGTGCGGGGCCCGTGGGCCTCACGGCCCTCTCAGCTGTGAAAGCCTGGCTCTGTTCCCCTCCTCCCACTCCATCTCTTCATTCCCCCCCAGAAGAGGGCACAAGGCCAAAGCTGGTCTCAGTATGTCCCCCTGCCTTGGCCTGGAGACCCAGGGGGGCAGGGTGGGGCTTGGTTACTCTCTCTCTCTCTCTCCTCCCTCCCTTTCTCTTTCTCACCCCACTTCTCCCTTTCTCCCTCTCTCTCTCTCCCTCTCCCTCTCTCTCTCTCCCCCCTCCCTTTCTCTCTCTTCCTCCTTTCTCCTCTTTCTCTTTCTCACACCCCCTCTCCCTTTTTCCCTCTCCTCTCTCTCTCTTTCTCTCCCTCCTTTCTCTCTCTCCCCATCTCTTTCTTTCTCCCTCCCTTTCTCTCTGTCTGTTCCCCTCTCTGTATCTCTGTCTCTTGTTCCCCCTTCTCTCTGCCTCTTTGTCTCTCCCCCCCATCATGTCTCTCTCTGTCTCTGTCTCTTCCTTCGCCATCTCTCCTCTCTGGCTCGGGTTCTGTCTCCTTCTCCCATTTCTCCAGCATTAGATCCCTTTTCCCTGTGGTTCCCTGAGACCCAGGCTCTCCTTTCCTCCCAGCTCCAGGATTTGAAAAGAATTCAAATCCCTTTCTTGGCCCACCACTAACTCTCTAATGTCCCCAGGGCAGAGAATGGGAACAGCTCACACTTGCCCTGGGCTTTTACAATGAACTTTCACAAGAACCTTGAGAGTGGGCTGGGGATGTTTCAGGAGGCCACATTCCAGACACTTATTAGTTGTATGACCCTAGGCAAGTCACTTCACCCTGTTGGCCTCAGTTTCCTCATCTGTAAAATGAGCTGGAGAGGGAAATGGCTAACCACTCCAGTGTCTCTGCCAAGAAAACCCCAAATGGGGCCACAAAGAGTTGGACACGACTGAAACAATGCACAGACACTTAATTCTTTCTGCTTTATGGAGGAGGAAACCAACCCAAAGAGGGGTGACAATGCGCCTGAGGATTCACAGACCCCTGGGGTTAAGCCAGTGTCCTGGCTGTCCTGACTTTCAGGCTACCACACATTGCCCCTCCTGCTTGACAGACAGAGTGGTGGAGGAAGATGCTAATTGGCTTAGAGATCATCTAGTCCCACCATTTATTGAGCGAACAACCCAGGGTCAGAGCAGATGGTGGCAAAGAGGCAGCTTAGTGGTCAGGGAGTCCGGCTTCCTTATTTGATTTCTTGATAAAGGAAACAGAGACTGAGATGGGGAAAGGGACCTAGAACCACAGAGCATCAGACCTAGAACGACACTTAAAGCTCCTAGAGTTTGACTCTCCTAGAGTTACAAAGGGAGAAACTGAGGCCTAAAGATCATTGACTATAACCCTTGTCACATCACAGAAGAGGGAGGGGAGGCCCAAAGCAAAGGACCTAGACTTACAATGGTCTAGTTAGTGAACAAAAGGGCTCCCCAAATGCCTCAAGTTTGGTAAACAAGTGGTGATGCAGGTAGGGGGAAACTGAGTCTCTGAAGGGCTTGCCCAAGGTCACGCCACTGGAGATTGCCCCACACCTCCACCCTGGGATACTCCAAGTCTGGTGTGTTTCAGAGGGCCAGCTGACCTTCTGGTTCCCTGGGGGACCAGCCTTTCTCCAAGCCTTGGGGGTAGAGAAAGACACCCACCCTCCCAGCTCTGCCCAGTTTCTGCCTCCTCCCCAGTCACTTACACCTTCCTTTGCAAGCCTTTATGCCCCCTAGCCTTACCTGCTCTCTTGCCTCCTCTGTCCTCCATGGCTTAGCTAATTCACCCAAGACAGCCCCAGTGGGGCCTTTCGATTTGAAAATGAGGTAAAGTTGCTGTGTGCCTGTTCACTCAGGAGAGTGGAGAGCCAGGGAAGCACCCCTTGGATAGGGGAGGCCCGATGGAGGGGGGGGTGCAGTTAGGCTGCAATCAGCTGTTGCTAGCTCCTGCTAAAACTGCCCGTAAATCTTTCTCCTGAGTCTTCCCCCCCCCCCAAAGGTCAAAGCTAATTTTAAACACATCCTGGCTTGAGAAAGGAATATAAAACCACACACACACACACACACACACAGACCCCTCACCCCTCAATTGGGATTTACTGGCTAGAAGAACAAGATATGTTGACCAATAGCTTCATAGTCTCTGCACCTAATGCTAGGAGCTGGGAAGTGGGTGTGACATTTGACTCCGCCACTTGCTAGGTGTGGCATTCTATGCCTGGCACTTGCACCTTCTCACCAGGGCCTCGGTTTCCTGAGTTTGGGGTTGAGGCTTTTTAAGCTCTCTTTCCCTCTTTAGGTCTTGTCTATATAATGAAAGATTGGAATCCAGCGACTCTGGCAGGGAGGGAGGGGTGGGGCTTTCCTTATCTTTGGGGTTCAGTTTCCCTTGCCTGTAAGAGGAGGAGGTTGGAGTCAATGAGATTTAAGCTCCCTGCTTCTCTCCGGGTCTCACTTTCTCTTATCTATAAACTTATGGGGTTGGAATTGATGGCTCTCTAAGTTTACTATCTCTTTTCCAGGCCTCAGTTCCCCCACCCATAAAGTGAAGATGTTGAGAGTTAATGGAACTCTCCTGATTGGTGGAGATTGATTACTAAATGCTTTTCACCTGCATCCTACATGAGGTGCAGAACTGGCGAGAGCTTGGGAGAAGTGAGATCTTGGTCTTCTGGCTTCCAGCTTCAAGAAAGAAAACACATGGTTCTGGATCCTCTTCAGATCTCCCGATGGGGAGAGAAAGACTAGGAAGAAGAGGACATGGAGCAGAGCCAACACCTCAATCACATCCCTGTCTCTAACTTACTACAAAGCGACTTCAGGGAATTTCTCTTTGAGTGAGAGCTGGGATTCTGGAGAGCTCCTTTTCTCTGTGTGCTGTCTGATATATTCTTATCTAAGCAGTTCTCTGATTTCTGTTTGCTATTGCCTTGAATACATGGGTTTATTTGCTATTTTTCTATGTCTGTTCTTTGTGGAACTGGCATTTGGTGGGGAGTCCAACCTTGGATTTATAGGTTGGGGTCCTGCTTCCCTGAACCTGGAAAGACTAACACTATTTGGCAGGCAGATAGACTTAAAATGAGCCTTTCTCTGGGGAGGGCAGAGTGGCCAGCTTCTTGTATTCATCTCTTGCCTCCTCTCCTGGCAGGAATCAAAAGTCTTCCTTGGAGAAGAATGGATGGAGGATACTCTAGAGCAGTGATGTCAAACTCAGTGGTCACATATTGACTTAGAAAACATTTCCCAATTGCATTTTAATCTGGTTCTGGCCACACTGAATTCCGCAGGCCCTTGAGTTTGATACCTTTCCTCTAGAGATATCAAATCATAGCTCTCCGAAAGCCCCATCTTACAGAACAATATGGATACACATAACATACATGGAGAAAATACAACCTATGCACAACATCCCTTACATATGGGAGCCCATCCACAGAATATATCAATATCTCCTGGCCACTTATTTTGCAAGAAACAGTGGCTTTTTGCTGTTTTCTTTTTCCCTAAAAACCTTGGACATTAAAAAAAAACAATCCTGTTCTTATAAGGTTCTGCTGTTTTTCATTTTTAAAAAAATTTTATTAATTTATTTTGATTTATCAACAATCACTTCCATATGCTTTTGAGTTGAAAATTTTTCTCCCCCACCCTCCCCAAGACGGCACACAATCTGATATAGGCTTTACATTTACATACCCATAAACATATTTTCACATTAGTGAAGCTGTAAGTAAAAATTAAAACCAACAGGAGGAACCATCAGAAAGATGAAACAAAACTCAACAGAAGGTAAAAGTGATAGCTATTCGACTTCCATAGTTCTTTCTTTGGATGTGGACAGCATTTTCCATCCCAAGGCCTCTGGAGATGTCTTAGATCCTTGTAATGCTGAGAAGGGTTCAGTTTAACAATCTTAGTCATTGCATAACGTGGCTGTTATTGTGTACAAAGTCCTCTTGGTTCTGCTCACTTCCCTCAGCATCAGACCATATAAGTCTTCCCAGGTTTTTCTGAAGTCAGCCTGTTCATCATTTCTTATAGCACAATAGTATTCCATTACATTCATATACCACAACTTGCTCAGCCATTCCCCAATTGATGGGCATCCTCTCAATTTCCAATTCTTTGCCACCACAAAAAGAGCTGCTATGAATATTTTTGTACATGTGGGTCCTTTTCCCATTTGTTTGATCTCTTTGGGATATAGCCCTAGAAGTGCTATTGCTGGATCAAAGGGTATGCACATTTTTGTAGCCCTTTGGGCATAGTTCCAAATTGTT